GGCGTAGCCCAAATGTGTCAGCAGCATTGGCGGGGCAGGTAATGTTAATGTCAGTAGAAAACAAGCAACTACACCAATCAAAGGGCCGCCAGGCAATCATTGCACCTCACTCCACACACCCACACTGCTGATGGTGGAGGTTGACAAGAAAACACAAAAAAAGTCACGACCCAAAGTGGTTGATGACATCTTTCCAATGATTGCTGAGTTCATAACCATCCTCTCGGTTGAAATTGTGTCTGTATATATGGATGACTTCATGAACGAATCTTTGTTGATAGCCAGAAGGCTTGCAAAGTACCATCATCTTAGAGAATATCAATTTCGTGTGAGCCAGCCGCATTAAAATAATGATCAGCTAAGGCAGAAGTATTGGTCCTACCATGTTTCAAATCTGCCTTATGCTCACGAACACGGCCCGAGACATGTCGCTTAGTTTCCCCAATGTAACTGCTGCCGCAGATACAGCTTAGTTTGTAGACGCCGGGATATTGCATGTCAGGAATCTTGTCCTTCACAGATGGGATCAGATCACGAATTTTATGCACTGTGTTAAATCGGACCTGGATCTTGTGCTTGTTAATGATTTTGGAAATATTTTTGGTTACCCCTGCTATGTATGTCAGGGTGATGGTTTTGATTGGATCCTCAGATGGCTCCTTCCTCACGGTTGGGGTGATGGCTTTGCAGATTGTGTAGTCAGAGTATCCATTCACCTTGAGAGCTTGGTGTACGTGTTTGAGTTCACTGGTTTGGTGTTCATGGTCGGAGATACATTGAGCTCTATGGTGCAGCGTTTTGATGAGGGAATTATTCTGGGATGGATGATGGTGGGAATCAGGTTTTAGGTAGGCGTCAGTATGGGTTACTTTCCTGTAGACAGAATGGCTCATTGAGCCATCTGGTTTCTTTTTGATTAGGACATCCAAGAAAGGTAGCATGCCATCCTTTTCTACTTCCATGGTGAATTTGATGGCTGGGTGTATGGAATTGATGTGGTTGAGGAATTGGTTCAGATCTGGTCGGCCATGTGGCCAGATGACAAACGTATCATCCACGTACATTTTCCACAAGGACGGGCATAGAGTGGATGCCTGGACAGCGCCCGTCTCAAATTTTCCCATGGGGGATCCTTCAGAAACAATCTGTGCGTTGTACGGACGTTGAAATTATTTCGCACCACACGTAGCAAACTAAACACGACAAGCAGTTCTAAAGACGTTAGTTCTCAATCTTGACTTGAAAGTGCGTTAGCCCCAGTTGGCTTCCTAATATCGGAAGGAAGAGCGTTCCAGACGGCCGCAGAAGCGCAATCTGAAAGGGCGCGATACGGTGACCACCGCCTTTGTTAGATGGTCAGCCAAAAATCCGCTGCTGCGAGGATGACCGGAGTTCGCGTGATGGTTTATGCTCCTTTACGAGATCAGCGAGGTATCGTGGTTAATTTTTCGCAATCATCTAGCGTACAATGAGTGCGACCTTATCATGTATTCGTTCGGCTACCGGAAGCCAATGCAGCTCCGCGAGCACCGGACGGACGTGGTTCAGATCTTGCAGTACCCGTCACGACACGTTCCAAAGCATTGTGTACACGCTGTAGCTTTGCTCGTGCTTTTGCCAAACGTCCCGTCGACGACTGAGCCAAAAGCTGCCGCTGCGAGGGTGATGGGAGTTTGCGTGATGATTTATGCTCTTTGACGAGATCAGCTAAGGGCGGCCACGTGGAATGTCTGAACGCTTGTTGGCAAGGAGAAACTGCCATTCACCTATTGGGAGCTGGATCGTAAGGGACCCAACCACCTGGATGTCTGTGGAACGGTGGCAAAATGTTAACTACCTCGCCAGATGCACAAGAGGTCGTGGGTTCGATCCCGACCCTGACGCCTGCTGTATATTTGGAGTTTGCGTGTTCTTTTCTCTCTCTCTCCCCATGGTCGCGTGGATTTTTCTCCAGGTCTTCCGGTTTTTCCCTCCACATTTATAATCACGCGTTTAGAGTATTTGGCTGTTATATATGTCCACGGGATACGCTACTTCGTTGGGCCATAATTTCTAATTGAACATTCATTTCTTTAGAACTGCTTCTTGTGTTAAGTTTGTTGTCCTTCCCCCGCACCTCTGATTATTGTGGTTGGCAACGTACGGTATGAAAAAAGTTCAACATACATTTGTGGCCAGGTCGCTTCTGAAAAAGAGTTAAAGAGCTCAGTGGGCCTTACCTGGTAAAATAAAAAAAGTAGTTTATACTGTAGTTTAGTGTTTAATAGGTGTTGGCTAAAGTGGCATCTCGGGATCAGGTCATATTAGTGTGAACTTACCACGTCGTTTTTCCACACCCAATATTACTGTGATTCACAGTTATTTTTTTTAAATGAGGCCACGTAATTAACTGGCCAGATGTGTGTCGTCAAGACCCTCCACCGCCCTAACAACTAAAATCGTCACGCGTGACCAAATTTAGCAATATTTTTTCTGTATGTACGGCCAACTTGTATCCGTTTTTTTTACGCGATTACTAGCAACCGCACTACTACATATCTTTTAGCAACCTTGTTGCGAAGTAATACACATTGCAGTGTGCAATTGCGTTGGTTAGAAGACACATGGGAAGGTTCATTTTGATTGGACTTCAGTCGAATAACGTTTAAGCCAGTGGTTCTTAAACTTTTATTGCAGCATTGCACATCCTTTGGTTTTTGAATCGTTAAAAAATATATGTTAACAAATACAGAGGTTTGATGAAACAAAGTTGTAATTACGTGCCCGTGTTTTAATTTGTTTCGATGATTTACCTTCGAAAAAATCTGGTCATGCCCCGCACCCCCTAAAGGGCATCTCGCACCCCAGGTAAAGAAGCACTGGTGTAGGCAATACACTCCTACTCGGCAGCACGTGAAAGTACAAAAAGCCAAGGCGATTAAACCTGTGCAGTACAATTACAAAGGCCGTGGGAAACTTGATTTTTTTTCAATATCGTGAATAGTTAATATCGTACTGAACCGCCAAAAATGATATCGCAGCGACCGCAATAGACAAGTGTGGGTTGCAATGTGACCCAATGGACAAGTGTAGGTTGCAATGTGACCCAATAGACGATAGCTGTGTGTTTGCAATGTGACCCAGTAGACTGGTGTAGGTTGCAATGTGACCCAATAGACGATAGCTGTAGATTGCAATGTGATCCAATAGACTGGTGTGGGTTTGCAATGTGACCCAATAGACGATAGCTGTGGGTTTGCAATGTGATCCAATGAACAGGTGTGGGTTTGCAATGTGACCCAATGAACAGGTGTGGGTTGCAATGTGATCCAATGAACAGGTGTGGGTTTGCAATGTGATCCAATGAACAGGTGTGGGTTGCAATGTGATCCAATGAACAGGTGTAGGTTTGCAATGTGACCCAATAGACGATAGCTGTGGGTTTGCAATGTGATCCAATGAACAGGTGTGGGTTTGCAATGTGATCCAATCGATAGGTGTGGGTTGCAATGTGATCCAATAACCAGATGTGGGTTGCAATGTGACCAATAGACTGGTGTAGGTTGCAATGTGACCCAATGGGCAAGTGTGGGTTGCAATGTGACCAATAGACGATAGCTGTGGGTTTGCAATGTGACCCAATGAACAGGTGTGGGTTGCAATGTGACCCAATGGACAGATGTGGGTTGCAATGTGACCCCGGTGCTACTTGTGGAGTAATGCGGCACTAAGAGCCTCAGCGGATTAGCGCTAGATTCCCTCTCACACCTGCGAGTCGATAATCCTGATCCTGCCCGGTCCACACTTTCCTACACCTGTCAAGGGCACGGCCACAGTCGCATCTTGTCTGTAGAGCTGTCGATAACCAGCTGCGGCTGCCTCTGCGTCTATTTCTTTGCCTAGCCATCTGTCTAGATCAGGGGTCGACAACCAAGCGAACAAGAAGTCTGACACTTTTTTCGAATTCGTAAAAAAAAAAACTCTATTTTATTGAGCTGCAATGCAATGTGAATACGAGACGTGGTCCTTAAAATAGATATCGTCACAAAGCAGTCCTTAAAGAGCCGCATGCGGCTCCGGAGACACAGATTGCCGACCCCTGGCCTACATGACATCTCGATGGATATTGTCTGTATGCAAATCTTTGTATGCAAATCCTTGTCTCGCTTCGTGCCTCTATCTGCCCACCGACATGTGTATATGTATCTCCAATTGCGGCGACGGCTAACATCAGTGGCAAGTTACATCTCAATCAGTCCTGGGTGCCGCGTTAACTGAACAGCACTGACCAGTATGGTGAAGTATGGTCAAAAAGCTCCCCTATGAACGACACATGGAGAGGCCTTGATCCAGCAGTGGATTGAGAAAGACCCGTACAATGACTATTTGTATAAATTGACACACTCATTTTTTTTTTTTACAAATCATAAACACTTTATTATAAACATATCTGCGTTCATGGTTTAAATACAATTGTATGAAACATCCCAAAAGCGGGGAATTTGAAGGAATGTGTGTTTAATTATCTCCTCTGCTCTAAGCCAGAAACACAGTGATCACGTTGTCCTTTTAAAAAATCGCATCCAACATTTCAGCAATTGTCCTTCAAAGTGCATGGCATAGGCACAACCTCTGTATGAACCGAAGTGTTCTTGTGGTTTTGCTCTACTCAGCCAATGGCCGATGCTCGTCCGTTGGGGGCCATAACCATAAGTTGTTTTGGGGCTGGGAGGTGGACCACCACCTTTCGATTTTAACACATTCCTGCGGAGGGAGCTGGTAGCAACGTTGGGTTGCTCGGTCAATGGCCAGGGTCAATGGCAGCGTGGTGTATTCCGCAAATATGCCCGACTGTGAGGGCGGGCACAAGCCAACGTGAGTAGGTTAAACGTTGAGTTTTTTAAGGGCACCACGGAGTGACCAGCCCCTCCCCATCCAGCCCCACCCCCCACCCTCCCCCACCCTCCCCTCCCAGCCCCACCCTCCCCTCCCCACCCAGCCCCTCCCTCCCCACCCAGCCCGTCCCTGCACGACAGACACAATAGTCCCCTGTGGGCTGGTGTAACCAGGAGGTTCCTACCAGTAGAAACTCAGTGAGACGACAGAAGCGGCTTAGGTGAGAGATAGAGATGCAGTGAGGTGAGAAAAAATGTGCACAAGAGAGATGTGGTACGATGATAGAAATGAGACACATGTAGTGAAATGAGAGCGATATTGACAAGAGTGAGAGATGTCGTGTGATGAGAGAAATGCGGACAAACTATAAGTGCCGTGCTCTGGCACGAACCATTGAGCCCCTTAAGAGAGACGCACTCAGACCCTGGGATGCTGGTTCAGCATGTCTGACACGGCCATTGAGATGACAACGGCTTGGGGAAGCCTTTCTCACGTGGTGGATTGACCGTAGCTTATGATGACAAGAGGCAGAGAGAGACTTGGTAGGCGTGTAATGTTTGTCACAATTTATGTTCATGATTCGATTCAAGTGTCAATGTTGTTTCCTGTTTGCGTTTGTTGTCTCTTTAAATCCATCGGCCACTTCAACGCACGCCTCGGCTGCTTCTGTCCCTGCAAGAGCCCCCTGTAGTGATGCAAGTGGTTGAGCACTATAAAATGACAGTGTCGTCGCCAGGTCAAAAATATTCCCTTTTATTACTCACTTCGTGCGGCTAGATAATATCGGCCGTGGGCCGTACCTAAGCGGTAGGCCTCATGCGGCCACCACGGGCCCATAGATTCTCCACTTCTGCACAATTTGCATATCATTTGCATTGTATGACAAGTACATCTCACAAGCTCGATTTCAAAATCAATTGTCAAATCGAGCAATTGAATCGCCACGTGCCTAAACACCGCACATTGAGAGATTGAGCACTGGCTCGCTTGCTCGGACACGGCCACGATGCGCCCCCTGAGTCTCAGCGGAGCCGCGCCAGCAGCAGCAGCTACAGCAGCAGCTACAGCAGCAGCAGCAGCTACAGCAGCAGCAGTAGCTGCAGCAGCAGCTACAGCAGCAGCAGCAGCTACAGCACTTGCAGCAGCAGCTACAGCAGCAGCTACAGCAGTAGCAACTACAGCACCAGCAGCAGCAGCTACAGCAGCAGCAGCTGCAGCAGCAGCAGCTACAGCAGCAGTAGCAGCAGCTACAGCAGCAGCAGCTGCAGCAGTAGCTACAGCATCATCAGCAGCAGCAGCACCACCAGCACCAGCAGCAGCAGCTACAGCATCATCAGCAGCAGCAGCACCAGCAGCAGCAGCAGCTACAGCATCATCAGCAGCTACAGCAGCAGCAGCTACAGCATCATCAGCAGCAGCAGCCCGTTCACTGCGCCATCTCCTCGATGGGGCGCCGGCAGTAGGGGCAGCGGTTGTGCTGCAGCACGAGCAGCTCGTAGTCCTCGCTGTGGAACATCTGCGGGGTGAGAAGGGGGGTCGAAACATCCTCGCCGTCGTCACCATCGTCGTCATTATCGTTGCCGTCACGTCGTTTCCAGCATCATTGCCAGCATGATTATATTCCACTTCGGCATTGCCAGGGTAGTTATCCTCATCATCGTCATCATTGCCAGCATAACCGTCGTCGGACGTTTAAAGTAGACGCACCATGCTTATCAACTCAAGGTTTGCTGTTTTGCAAAAAATATAGACATTTTATAAACATGTTATGCAGACTTGTCGCATGCTAATCAGTGTTGGGCCTTTCAATAATGGAAATGGAGATTGTTCCTGATACTGGCAAAAAAGGTCCCATAGATATAACTGCTCAACCTGAGCTATAAGTGTTCTGATACTTGCATTGTCGTTGTACTGTTCGCATTTTGGCATTCCCTGACACTGGTGAAACTGGTCTGACACTGGTGAAACAAAGCCATAAAGAAAGCTGTGTCTGGTATAGGCCAATCAGTTGCAAATACAATGCATATATTATTATCAGAGCATGTTATAGCAAAAGTACATGTGGTTAATGCCGACTTGATGCCTTGCAAAAAGGTATTTCCGTGGGGTTTGAACATATCAACACCTATACTCTTTGGTTCTTTTGGTAAAGTCACGTAATTTATTTTTTAATTACTTTTTTTTATTTAATATAATGAATTTTATACCTACGTGACTTTACCGAAAGAACCAAAGAGTATGGATCATTGCAGTCACGAAAACTTCAGATCTAGATCTCAACACCTGTTTTATTGCCAGAAAGGGTAAAAACCTATTCTTATTCTTCATACTTTTGTAATGAGCGACTTCCGCGACAAGTCGTGTAGAGGGTACTTCTTCTTTATCTACTCACAATGGGCATAACTCTAGGTATTAACACCTCTACTGGCTACACACACAGCCGATCACTCGGCGTGGTCCCATCCCCCTCACTCGGCTACGCCGCTGGCTGGCGGCGTGACGATGATGGCGATGGAAACCACGCAGGGGATCTTCCACGTGGCTGGACGACGGAGAGAGATGTTGGCGAGCAGCGACGCAGCCAGGACCCAGGACCCCACACGAGTCCCGAGCTAGGCCCCGCCTCCGGCCACGCCCTCTCGTGGAACCTTCGAGCAGGTTCCCGGAGTATCTCGGCTAACCCCCCCCCCCGCCCCCCTGTTATCTTTGCCCCAGATACACCTCCTTCTCCGATTGGTTGTTACTTCTGTGCCCGTACCCGTGAGTCCCTTCCCAGGGCAGCAGGTGTCACCCTGTCATTACACTTTGATACTGGCAAGAAAAGTTACCGTAGCTGTAACTGCACCGCAGTCAAAACACACGAGTAAATCGCGGCGCCCCGACCTGGAAGCAGGAGGAGCACACGGTGATGGGGACGTCGGGCATGAGCGAGCGGTAGAACTGCCAGCGCAGCGGCGGGGGCCAGCGCTTCACCAGCACCTGGCGCCGGCTGAGCGAGTGCAGTGCCGCGCGGTTCAGCACCACCGGCACGAACTCGGCGCCGTCCTGCCGTAAACAACGAGAACAACGACGGCAAATGCCAGGGCTTCATTTCTCACTGAATACTTCCCGGGTCGCTGGTAGACTGGAGTAGGTGGCAAGTGACGAGTAGCAGCCACAGCTATCGCTCGATATGATATACTGGATGTGGTGTGCCGGGCACAGGAATATATTCTGGGTCATCAGCTGACCTTAAGCCCAAGTCTTATGTAAGGCTATAGGGTTCTGTGTCAATCCACTGCTGGATGAAGGCCATCCCGTGCTGTGCAAGTCTTGGGGGTTATATGACCATACATTACCACACTGGTCGGTGCGGGATGCCACACAGACGTGTAAGCGTAGAAGTACGGTACAACAATAGTTTTTTGTACACTGCGTTACTGCCTGCAACAAATCTACGTTTACGTGTGTTACGAGTATGCTTGCGTGCTGTGTGTGGGTTCTGCGTAGCCGACTGACCTCGAAGCTGAGTCGAGCAGCGAAGGGGTCGTTAGCATCCCCCCCGGCATCCTCGCTATTTTCCATGACCATCATGTCCGCCTCTGACCAACGCAGATCAAGGGGCAGTGGAGGAGAGAGAAGACAAGCACAAGGAGGGAGGTGGATTGAGAGAGATGGACGGATTAGCACAGTTGGCAACGTACGGTGCAACAGAAGTTCAACCTCGGCTAGTATACAGGAGGTCGTTGGTTTGATCCCGACCCTGACACCTGTATATTTGGAGTTTGCATGTTTTCCCTGTAGTCGCGTGGATTTTTCTCCGGGTCCCCCGGTTTTTCCCTCCACATTTAGGAACATGCGTTTAGAGTGAGTATTTGGCTGCTACATATTTCCACATGATAAGCCACTTCGTTGAGCTATCATTTGTGGCCAGGTCGCTTCTTAAAAAGAGCTACATAGCTCAGTGGGCCTAACCTGGTAAGGTAAAAAATAGTTAAAGTAAAACAAATAACATAGTAGTGCTGCTGGTGGCGGTGGTGACTATGGCGTCGGCTGTGTTGGTGAAGGCAGCAGCGTTGATGAAATAGTTATGGCGTTGGTAGAGGTGACAGAGGTAAGTGGTGATAATGGTAACAATGACGTTGGCTTTGATGGTGTCAGTGATGGTGATATTGGTGGTGGCGTTATTTCCTGATGGTGGTAATGGTATTGGCGACAGTGAAAATGGCGGCAGTGTCATTCGCTTTGACAGTGACGGTGAATATGGTAGCGGTGATGTTTGCCTTGATGATAGCAGTGACTTTGCCTTTGATGGTGATGACGGTGATTATTGTGGTAACGGTAAGACCGACGTTGGCTTTGACTGTAGTGTGATGAGGATGATGGCGGTGGTGGCACTGCCGGTGGTACGATGCCAGACGTCCCACGCACCTCCGGCTCGCGATTCGCGCCACCGCGTGTCCCCACGCTGCCCGGCGCCGGCGGGAGGCCCCTCCAGGTTGATGAGCGACAAGGCCTCCTCATCGCCCACTCCGTCCTCCAGGGAGAATCCCACCAGGGGCAGCACCTCTTCAGTCACGACACAGGCAGGACAGGGAGGGGGAGGGGTGGGTGGGCGGCTCCGGTCAGAGTAGCTACAAGAATCCGGAGTAGGTCTAATCCCATAATCCTACTCCTGATCCTAATTCTAAACCAAACCATGACCCCGATCCTAAACGTGACCCTGACCTGAACAATAAGCCTGACCCTGACCCCCCTGATGACTCCCTAACAGGGGTCAGCAACCAACAACAAAAAGAGAAATTGTTTTCGAATTCGGCAAAAAAATTATTTCAAGAGCCGCTTAGGATGTAAATAACGTCACCAAGCTGCCCTTAAAGAACCGCATGCAGCCCCAGGTTGCCGAAACCTGCCCTAGCATGTATGCATGTTGAAATTCTTTCGCACCGTACGTAGCCAACCGTGCCAATCAGAGGTGCGGGGGGAAGGACAACAAACTAAACACAAAGAGCAGTTCTAAATAAACCACTTTACAATCTAAGATGATTTAAGTGCATAGCTTCCGTTGGCTTCCTAACATCGGAAGGAACGTTCCAGACGGCCGCAGAAGCACATCTGTAAGCGCGCGACGAGGTGACCATCGTTGGCTGTGCCCCCCCCCCCCCCCCCCCCCCCCACCGAAAGATGAGAAGGAGTAGACAAACGGCTGGCGGCAGTTCACGCACGCGTTTCCACGTCCACCGAGCAAGGGGTTGTTGGTAGAGCAACGGTAGCACATGGGGATCAGCTCCTGTCATGGGAAGAAGAAAAAAAAAACCACAGATATCTCCCAGTTACTTTTCCATTGTGACATCCCTGTCCATAATCAACGTTTTTTGGGTTATATCGCGTTATTTATTAATGTGCCGTAACCCTCCACCACCCGACACGGCCAATCAGCAAAAAAGTGTCACGTTGACAAAAGACAAATAGTTCACTGCTTTAGCCCACCAGTGTGTTGAAGCGTGAAACCACAACATTTATAAAAAATGTTTCCTCTGTTCCCCTGACAGTGTCTCGCGTGTCTCCATTTGTCCTGCCTAGCACTTCACCCCTCTCGTGTCGACGGACGTCAGGTACGTCTCTCCCATCCGAAGATACGAAACGTCCCGGTTTTTCCCAGTGTCCCAAAGCTCTTGTGAAAAATCAGAATTTGGAACTCGGATGGCAGAGCAGTGGGCAGGGCCTATGCGCCGTGGGATTAGGGGCCATCCATTTAGTACGTACGTATGGAGGGGGTGGTTAAGCAAAATGCGTATGCTTGCGTATGGGGGGTATTGGCCTTCAAATGAGTTAATCCTTAATCGTTTCTGCGTGGATTAAATATCGGCCGTTCTATAGGATTCGGGGGGGGGGGGGGGGGGGGGTGCATCAAGCATACGTATGCAGGTGGGGGGGGGGGTGTAAAAAGTGAGCATGCGTACAGGGAGGGGGAGAGGGGTCAAGTTTTTACGGATTTTTGCGTACGTACTAAATGGATGGCCCCTTAGCACGTGGTTCAGTGGGCATGGTTGTAAACACCTCCAGCAGCGAATAACACCTGCATAAGCATAGTGGTCACTCATCCAAGCACTGTCCAGGCTCACAACCCTGAGCTTCCGGGATGTGCTGAGATCATCCACATTCCGGGTGATCGCAAGGCATTCCCCCATACACCCTCAAGACATCCCGACACGGGTACGGAGGAGTGTGTAGGGGGGATGGAGTGTGGGGGGGTGGTAGTGTGGGGAGAATGGAGGATCAGGTTTTCCGTTTGCATCACAGCCCCACAAATACCGCCCCTTTCCCTCCCTGACCCTCCCGCAAAACGCCAACGCACGAGACACCTCGCTGTCCTGGAAGGGCTTCGAGCGAATGGTGATGCTGCCCAGCATCACGGCCTCCTGCAGCCGGGGCGGCACTCGCAGCGCCAGCAGACGCTCAAAGCAGTGGCGTGCCAGCTTGTAGGCGCCCAGCTGCGCGGCTCTGTTTGGCCAGGGCATACAGAGTGTTCCTGCGGGGAGAGCGGAGTCAGGCCCCACGTTTGTCAGTGCCTTTGTGGTGGTAGAGTACACCTGTGATCCAGTGCTATGGAGGCTGGTGGTGTCGTCATCATCATCTATTCATCATTGTCATCGTTAGCATCATCATTCATAGAAATCATCATTGTCATCATCACCACACACGGTGGCGAGGTCAACACGTCCCGGCCTCCTAGGTCTCTGTTTTTTAAAGTCTCACCACCACAGTCTCTGGCTTTTGTCTTTTCCCCTGGTCTCACACCTATGGGTGCCACTCCACTGCCTGTCCACGGTAAGCTGCCCCCCTCCATCCTGCAGACGTCCCACCAATTAAAACGTCTGTTCACGATTGCTTTTACAACCTTTTCATGCCACGTTCCATTCCAAACTTCTGTGTTGTTCACCCGATACTGTTCTGGTAAGGTATTCTCAGTCTTTGTATCTTCTCCACTGCCAAAACGTATTTTCTCAAGGTTTCTGTGAAGCTGCTATACAACTGGTGTTTAATTTCAGTGCTAATCCTATACAGCAGGGGTCCCCAACCCCCCGGTCCGTGGCCTGTTAGGAACCGGGCCGCACAGCAGCAGGAGGTGAGAGCGGTGAGTCTGCGCGTGGCCCGCCCCAATTATTTTATTATTATTTACCACTTCCGTCCGTGCCTCTTTCCCACACTGCACACTAGTCTCAGCCACAGTTCTGGTAAGCCCACAAGCTGCTAACCCCTAGGCAACATGAGTAAAAAACAAACGTCGCTGGAGAGCTTCTTTGAAAAGGGGTAAAAACCCAATGATGAACCCCCCCACCCTCCGGTCCGTAAAAAAATTGTCTTCCACGAAACCGGTCCCTGGTGCCAAAAAGGTTGAAGACCGCTGCTATACAGTCATCCATTTAAATGAATGAAAGAAGGAATGGTTGAGTGAGTGAAATAATGAGTGTGGACCGAGCACTCACACTTTGGATATCCCCGGTGGGCTGTCTCGCCCCAGGCTGTGCAGGAGGAAGCGGGCGATGTTGAAGATCGACTCGGGGAGGTGAGACGTGAACGGTTCATCCTAGCACAACCCACAGGCGTGGGAAGCGTTAACGACACTCCCTGCAAACACTCAACCCACGAAACAAACGGCTCTTATATATTATATATTCTTGGTTCTTTCGGTAAAGTCACGTAGAAGGGAAATAATAAAAATAAAACATAATACAAATTCTCACGACATTTCGATTGCAACACAAGCAATCATCATCAGGTGCTGTAGTTTTCACACCTGATGATTGCTTGTGTTGCAATCGAAACGTCGTGAGGATTTGTATTATGTTTTATCTTACTTATTTTATTATTTCCCTTCTACGTGACTTTACCGAAAGAACCAAGAATATGAATCCCTGCAGTCACGAAAGCTTTAAATCGAAAAGCTCTTATATTGTACAATAGCACATAGCCTTTGTGTTGTGTTCTGTCCTATAACAGTTTCAAAGGTTGTAAAATAAAAAAAAATCCGTTTGATAACCAGAGGCCCAAATATACAGGCAACAGGGTCGGGATCGAATCCACCCCCTCCTGGATACCAGGCAAGGTAGTTAACATCTCGCCACCGCGACACGCCACCGTGATATTTGTTGTCATATTGTGAGAAATTAAATCGCAGCAACCCTAGTGCACGTATGTGTCTGTGGGACGCACGGTGTAGCGCTGGATGGAGTGGTAGGCGTAGTACAGCTCAGCCAGGTGCTGGAACTGCTCAAATTTCTTCAGCATCTCCTCCGCCTGCGCCGTGTCACCTGGCGAGCAGCGGCCAATTGGCCAGATGTGAGGTCGGGGTAGAGGTACAAGAGTGTTTCAGCCAACTCTGATCTTTGTTTGCATTATGTGCTGTTTGTGAGTCACGTGTGCCGTGTGTGTGTGCCATGTGTGTGTGTGTCTGCGTCCTGTATCTGTTCCCTGTGTGTACCGCATGCGTGCTCCATATGCGTGTGTGTGTGCCCTAAAACCGCGTGTGCCGTGTGTAATGTGCATGTGCGCGCTGTGTGTGTGCCGTTCATTCGTGCGCCATGTGCGTGCAGTTCATGCGTGCACCATGTGTGTGCCATGTGGGTGCCATGCATGCGTGCGCCGTGTGTGTACAATTTGTGTGCCGTGCATGCGTGTGTCGTGCGTGTGTCGTGCGTGTGTCGTGCGTGTCTCGTGCATGTGTCGTGCGTGTGCGCCGCACTGCCAGCGATGTCCAGGCACTGTGTCGACAGCATCCAGTAGTAGTAGGCCGCATCGTTGCTGCGACTCTCAGCGACTGCGTTGTGCGTCAGCGTCTCCAGCACGTGCACCGCCTCCCCACGCCGCCCCGCCTTGTGGAACGCTGTCGGCCCACAATCACAACCGCACCTCTCGATTAGCATGGTTGGTTACGTACGGTGCAAAATAAGTTCAACATACATACATAACGGTGACCACAAACGCGACCTTGACGTGCTGTAATTTGCTGTGTGCGCAAACTGCAAATAACAGAATCTCACGCGCACGATTTATCGTGTGCGTCGCGAGTGCACAAACCAACGTATTGTCACGCAGCACAACGTCAACGGCATTACACTACGGCCATATCGTACCACAACCACTGCCACCACTACATCACACCACACAATTACCACATCATATTACCCTCACCACCACGTAACATCACCGCAACTGGCACCAAAATTCCATGACAACACCAACACCGCATCGCATAACATCGCCACCACATCGCGACACCACACAACCGACGTTGCAACGCAAGCCGCCGATGGAGGAGGGTGCAGCACGTGCCTTTCTGCGCCTCCTCAAAGCGGTCGTTCTCCGCGAGCCAGCGAGCGTACGGCACAAACGTCTCATCGCGCAACTCGGGGTGCCGCTCTGCCAGCGCAAACGCCTGCCAGAGTTCGGGGACGGAGACAGCAACAGACCGGTTGTTATTGGGGGTGCAGGCGGTGCAAATGCACCGGGGCGCAAAAGGTTTGGTGGGGATCCTGGTGCCGGTCTAGGGAAAAATTGGACACATGCTTCAATTTCATTTCTTGCACCAGGGGCCATAACAGCCATGCTATGCCACTGGGTCAGGCAGAGAAGGACAGACACAATGAGTGAGTACAGATACAGTGCTATGAAGCTAGCTACCTGAAATCCATTCCTGGTCAAGGCTCACATCAGTGGGCAACCTGCACCAACCAGCATGGTGCGGTATGGTCAAACAACCCCAATGATCGACGTTGTGTGGAGAGGCCTTCATCCAGCAGTTGACTGACAAAGGACTGTATAGGTGAAACGAGTGAGGGAGTTGATGAAGAGATGACTGTGACGTCTCATTATCACCCCTTGTTGCAGAAGTACGTGGTTCATATCCCAAAGGCTACCCTAGTTAATACTGCATGTGTAAACTGCACATCGTCTGCTTAACAGCAGATGTTAAAGATCCCGTGACATTCTGAAAGTGTAGGCCATGTGTGCTGCTGTCATGGACCAAATTTGAAAAGGCACTTTTAAGATGCAAAGGTATTTAAGTAAGCACCCTGTAAACGAAAATATCATTTTTATGACTGAGGGCACAACCAATCGGTTGAGGTGTGCGATGATGCGGGCCAGAGAGAGAGGGGAAGGGGGGTATGGGGAGTGGGGGGCGGGGCGTGGTGCGTGGCGAGCGGCCACCTCGTCCCAGTGTCGTGTCTCCACGTGCAGCCGGAGCAGGGCGGCCCAGTCCCCCATCTTGCCGTAGGCCTCGGCCGCGTAGCCGTGCTGGCCCAGCCGCTGCAGGTGCTGGGCACACAGCGCCAGAGATTCGCGATCTGCCTTGTCCATGCGGCGCGCCACCTCCACCAGCCTGCACGCGCACGCACGCAGGCGGGGGCACAGACGTAGGGAAAAAAACAATACAATATAGTTCACTTAAAACTAAAAAATTCTCAATTGGAAAGGAGGCCGACCCATTTAATTCCTTACACCTGGGCTCATGCCAACAATGCTATCCCAACAGAAAAGGGAGCCAGAGAAATTCACTCCACTGAAGATCCCAGTTTAATTGCAGGCGGCTGTATGGATTTGAACCCAGGATCTCAGCAATGCAAGCTCTGCGCAGAATGAAAACGGCAACAAGACCTGTTACATGAGGCAGAGACCCAGAGAATGAGAGAGGTACTCATACTCTTAGGTTTTTTCGGTAAAGTCACGTAGGTAAAAAATAAAATAAAAAATTACTAAAGTAATAATAGAAATAAAATAAAATAATAAATCACGACATTTCGGAGGCAACACAAGTCTCCGTCATCAGGTGGGACCGTCACAGCTAGATTTGCTGTATCCACTTGATACAGCAAATCTAGCTGTGACTTGTGTTGCCTCCGAAACGTCGTGATTTATTATTCTATTTTATTTTTATTATTACTTTTAGTAATTTTTTATTTTATTTTTTACCTACGTGACTTTACCGAAAAAACCTAAGAGTGTGAATCCTTGCAGTCACGAAAGCTTCAAATCTAGAATGAGAGAGGTGTTTAGGACTTGGGTAAGACAGAGACAGGAAGAGGCAGACAGATACAAAAGGTGGTGGTGGTGGTGATAACTATTATGATGACACGGATGTTGCACATTCTAATGATGCTGATTGTGGTGAAGTTATTGATGCCTATGGTGATAATGCTGACATTGCAGATACCGCTGATGATCATGATGACGGTGGTGGCTATGATAATGCTCATAACGCCAATGTGGCAGATACTGTTGATGCTGACGACGATCATAATGATGTTGCAGACGCTAACGATGGTGATAATTGCTGATGCTGCTGCTGACATTAAGGAAACCGCTGATGCTACAGAAGCTGCCAGTGGCGATGTCGATGATAAGGCTGATGCTACCGACGCTCGCAACAATATCGACGAGACTGCCAGCACTTTTGCCGATTAGTGGCAGTGCTGGTGGACATGGCAGTAAAAACGCGTGCACGTGTCGCGGCTCACATGTCAACCCATCCATTCTGCCCGATGATTTCAATCGCCTTGACATTCTCTCCGGCCGCCAGGTACATGTCGGCAGCGGCGCGGGGGTCCTTGACCGCCTTGCGCCCAGTCCGCCTGCTTGCGCATGAGCAGCCGCGTGTCCTTGGGGTCGCCCGACGCCACAAACTCCTGCGTTCGGCGCACGAGCGTGGCGGAAAGGACGTTGAAAGGTTGACTCGCTTCTAGATTTGAAGCTTTCGTGACTGCAAGGATTCATACTCTTAGGTTTTTTCCGTAAAGTCACGTAGGTTAAAAAATAATAATAAAATAATAATAAATGCAAATAACTCAATTAAATCACGACGTTTCGGAGGCAACACCTACGTGACTTTACCGAAAAAACCTAAGAGTATGTTGACTCGCTTGCTACTCCACTTGCTCACTCACTCGCTCATTAATCTTTTGTCCTTGTATTCATCCGCTCACTTTCTCGGTTGATCACTTGCACACACCGTTAATGACTCGCTTTCTCATCTGTGGAATTCATCGCTCACTCTCTTGCACATTTACTAGCCTACACATTTACTTTCTCGCCCATTCACTCAATTGACCGCTCGTGCATTTCATTGCTCACTGGATCACCTCATTCACTCAGCCACGAGCTCACACATTCACTTGCTCCCTTTCTGCTCATTCACTCAATAACCTCGTTCATTTTCTCGCTCCAACATACTCACTCTCTCGTTTAGCCACTTACTGACTCAGTCGTTCGTACGCTCCCCGGTACTTCACGCCAAATGGCACAGCTTCCCAGGACCTGGGCGTGTCAAGGGGCAATGCGCAAGGGTCAGGTCGAGGGAGTGAGGTGTGCACCTTGGCGCAGTCGAACATGCGCAGGTCGGAGTACATGGCGAGAGCCCGGCTCTCGTGGCCGGCACGCTTGTAGAATTTGGCGGCGTCGTGGAAGCGTCCACGGTGGGCGTGCACATCCGCCAGGAACAGCTCCTGGGCACTCTCGCCACGCCGCCGCCGCTCCTGGAGGGGTGGCAGGGGGGGGTTAGCATCCACGACGTGTGAGTGGGGTCTAAGCCGCTGGTGTCGGACTATACTAGAGGGCCGCGTAAGCATCCACGACGTGTGAGTGGGGTCTAAGCCGCTGGTGTCGGACTATACTAGAGGGCCGCGTAAGCATCCACGACGTGTGAGTGGGGTCTAAGCCGCTGGTGTCGGACTATACTACAGGGCCGCGTAAGCATCCACGACGTGTGAGTGGGGTCTAAGCCGCTGGTGTCGGACTATACTACAGGGCCGCGTAAGCACCCATGACGTGTGAGTGGGGTCTAAGCCGCTGGTGTCGGACTATACTAGAGGGCCGCGTAAGCATCCACGACGTGTAAGTGGGGTCTAAGCCGCTGGTGTCGGACTATACTACAGGGTTGCGTAAGTGGCCCTGGGGTAAGGGTGACCAGAGGGTTTAATCCAAAATGTGACTATCGTGAACTCCGTTAAATTTTCTTTACAAACATTTAAATCGTTCAATTGTGCACATTTACAAGATCTTTCGATTTAAAGCTTTCGTGACTGCAGGGATTCATCTTCTTGGTTCTTTCGGTAAAGTCACGTAGAAGGGAAGTAATAAAATAATAAAAATAAAACATTATTATTCTATTACTTCCCTTCTACGTGACTTTACCGAAAGAACCAAGAAGATTTACAAGATCATCAAGGGCTACTGACTAATGTAACTTTTGTGCAGCGTTAGTGTCCCTAACTATGACACAAAACGTGAAAAAATAACATTTCATTTTTGTATATTTTCATTTCCCCATAGGATAACATGGTGTGGGAGTGGTAGTGTAGCAGTTAGCGCGCTGCGCCACGAACCTGATCACCCGAGTTCGATTCCCGCTTATGGCCAACACCAGTGATGATTATCTGAACCGGTCCTGAGCCTCCCCTAGGTCGACTCAGCCTCAAATGAATACCTGGTGTGGTGTGTAATTATCGCCACTAGGGAGACAAAGTCAGTCGGGCGTGGTGCTGGTCACCCACCCCCTCGTGTACCGTTCCGGCATTCATAGGTGCTCGCTAACAGCGCTTTACCCAACAGTCTGTTAAGGCTAAATTGGGATTTTTGTTTGTTTGGTTTGTTTTATCAGCATGGTATGTTTCCCCCTATACAATATTTGTTCCAGGAAAGAATGTTCGTTTCCCACAAAAACTAAAATTCCGGATTCCGGTCCAATTTCAAATATTTGTGCCACCTTTTTTTCTCTAAAATAATTGACAGTCTGATATCAATCCACCACGAGATGATGGCCTCCTCATGCCGTATTGGTCGGCGGGCTTATTATTGGACCATACTTCACCGCAATTTGTCAGGCCAGGTTGATGAAGCAGGGGAGGGGGTCCCAAAATCCATTCAGGTATCACTCGCGACCGATGCTAGCCGTTGTCGGGACTCAAACTCAGGTTGCGCAGTGTGCTAACTCGTGCGCCACCGCTCACCTCTATGCTGTAGATGAGCTCCAGGTATCTGAGATCCCTCACTCGGATAAAAGCCTGGGGTGGGTATCACACACAGTAGGTTTCACACAACGGTGGTTGCAGTGGTGGTGGTCATCACAGAATGATGGTGGATTGTAGCGATGGTCGTTGCAGTTGTAGCGGCGATTGCAGTGGTGGTAGTTGTAGCAGTAGTGATGATCGTGGCTGTATCGCTGGTGTGGCTATCGCACCGTACGTAGCCAACCGTGCTAATCGGAGGTGTAAAAAAGGTGTCAGTTTTGTTGCCAGATAGAAGGGTAAAAAAGCAATTATCATATTTTTTACTGGCAAATGAGGTTCCAATGGTGTAAATGCTTTCTCCGAGCTCTCATACTCTGATGGTTCATTGTCTTTGAGTTGTGCGCCTTTTGGCGTCATCTGGTCCAACCCATGTGAGACTAGGCTCTAAGGAAAGCTGTCTCGGGTGTGGACTAATCAACTTCAAGGACAGTGCATATATTATCAGAGTTATGTTTTTTGTTTGCATTATGGCTGCAGGTATTGTGGTCTATGCAAACATGACTCTTTGTAAAAAAAAAGTGTCAGTTTTATTGCCAGATAGAAGGATAAAAAAACTATTATCATATTTTTTACTGGCAAATGAGGTTCCAATGGTGTGTGGGAGAAGGACAACAAACTAAACACAAGAAGCAGTTCGAAAGAAATTAGTTTTAAATAAAAGTGATGTAAACAGTGGTGGTGGTATAAGTGGAATTTGGGGTGCCGTCCTGCCGAGCCACCTTCTTGGCCGTGTCAAAGTCGAGCCCTTCGAGCGCTTCCAGCGCCAGCTGCCGCCAGTCGGTCTCCGTGACCCCGAGGCACGCGATCTGGTACGCCTGCTGGTACAACCCGCGCTCCAGGTACTGGTACATGGGCGCCGACTGTCCACACATACACGCACGCACACACACATAAAGTTAATGACAAAGCTCCCCCCCGCAATAGCTGTATAGAATGTGGGGGCAAGTGCTATTAGCTAGCACCTCTAAATGCCAGCATAGTGCATGAGGGGGTTATGTGACCAGCATCACCGCCTTTGTCTCCCCAGTACTGCCGTTTACTTATTGCACCAACTTCTCATTGAAGGCTGAGTCGACCTAGGGGACACCCAGGACTGGCTCAGATATCCATCACTGACGTTGGCTGCGGGCAGGGATGACACTCCTGTTTGCTCTGAATCAAAGTGCTATAAACCTCAGTGTCTTAACTCAGTGTCTCTCTGTGTCTCTCTGTGCCTCTCGATGTATTTCTTGTAACTCTCCAAATCTATTTCTCTGTGCCAGTCGGTTATCCGTCCATGTCTGTCTGTGTCCGTGTCCACGTGCCTCTACACACATCTCTGCGGCTCTTGCTTTGGCAATCTGTCTCCATGTTTCTCCTCTCCGCCCCGTCGACACAGCGCCCCCCAAGCAGCCTCGACACGTCCCTCGTCCGTCACTCACGGAGTCAGAGAAGCCACCGGCTTACCTGCGGCACTTCGACGGCCGACATTGAGAAGACGTGCAGGCAGAAGATCTTGGAGCCGTTGTACCCGACCACGAAGCCCTGCAACTTCTGCTGGTGCACGGGCAGGTCGCTCGCCTTGATGTTGAGCAGCCCGCCGCCCGAGAAGCACAGCATGTCCTCGCACTGCGTGTTCCACGCCACGCTGTTCGCATTCGGCTCCTGGTAAGGAAGTGCACACAGCCAGACGCAAGCGCATGTGTGCGTGCGCACGCCAGCAAACACACGCGCACGATATACGTCAAAATTACCAACAACGATGATGCAGAGAGCGATTGTGAGAGAGCCACAGATCACCCGTGGCTCAAGTTTGTCGTGGGTTTTATAGGACGGGAGGGGTTGATGTAGCAGCAGCAGCAGCCTACAAAACCAGTTGTACCCATTACGGGAGCCAATCCAAGCACCACCCAGGCTCAACCCTGTTTAGCTTCTGCGATCAGGCAGCGCGCCCGGAGTCCGTAACACGCGAACCGAACGTTGGGCACGTCACTACGTAGTTGCGGTGACGCCGCCGCAGTCACGCAAGAGGGCAGGCACCTGGAAGAGCAGCTCGCGCGTGCGCAGGTCGTACACGAGGCACACGTTGTGCTCGTCCACCACGGCCAGCTTGTTGCGTGATGTGCTCATGTCCAGGCAGCGCACTGACGTCGCCTGCTTGAGCAGCACGATTGGGAAGAGGTTGTCCACGAAGATCTTCAGGATCTGAGAGACAAAGAGAGTAGGAGATGGTGGGAATGGAGCGACAGGTGACAGGGACAAGACCGCACGATATAAATATATAGAATTATCAAAAGCCAAACAGTGGTAAGTGTGCTTATTCGTTTGCCCTTGTGCTTTTACGTACATGTGTGCGTGTCCGTTTATAAGTGGGTAGTGTAGTGGTTAGCGCACTGCGCTATGAACCCGACGACCCGAGTTCAATTCCCGCTCACGGCAACACGAGTGACGATTATGTTAACTGGTCCTGGGCCTCCCCTAGGTCGACTCAGCCTCAAATGAGTACCTGGTGCGGTGTGTAAACATCGCTACTAGGGAGGTGTGGTGCTGGCCACCCACCCCCTCGTGTACCGTTCAGGCCTTCATAAGTGCTCGCTAACAACACTTTTCCCAACAGTCTGTAAAGGTTAAACGGGGATTTTTGTTTGTTTGGTTTATTTTATCAGCATGGTATTTTTCCCCTTATACAATATTTCTTCTAGAAAAGAATATTCGTTTCCCACAAAAAACAAAAATTCTCGATTTTTGGTCCCCCTTTAAAAATATTTGTGCCACCCTTTTTTTCTCTAAAATAATTGACAGTCTGACATCAATCCACTACGAGATGATGGCCTCCTCATGACGTATTGGACGGCGGGGTTATTATTCGACCATACTTACGGGGGATCTTTGTCTTTGTTTGCAAGTGGGCGTGTGTATTTGTGTGCGTATGGCCTCCCCTAGATCGAGTACCTAACAAGGGGTATAAACATCACCACTGGGGAGACAAAGATGGAAGGGGGCGTTCCGCTGGTCACACCACCCCCTCGTTTGCTTGGCTAGCGCAAGATAGGTGCTAGCTTACAAGACTTGCCCCAACAGCCTGTGTACGCTACACGAGAGATCTTAGTCATTGTGGTCATTAGAGATCAAAATTTTGTGTGGGTGATATGGGACTATGCATTTTTGTTCAATGTTTGTGTTATGTATGAGAGTGTTGCCGCTGCTATATGGAAGACATTTATTTTTGTCTTTTCACGTGTGTGTGTTTGCGTCTGTGTGTATGTGTGAACAGTGCTGCCAACTGAGTCATCTTGTTGCTATATCTAGCTCAGTGGTTCTTAACATTTACTGCAGCCTTGCACCTCTTTGGTTCTCAATCGTGTATAATGTTAATAAATACAGAGGGTTTGATGAAACAAAGGAGTTGTAACTCAAGTGCCCGTGCTTCATTGCTGTTTTCGATGATTTACCTTAAAAAAAAATCTGCCCATGTCTCGCAATCCCAGAAAGGGCATCTCGCACCCCCAGGGGGTGCGTGCACCCCAGGTGAAGAAGAACCACTGCTCCAATGTCTTACTGTGATGAGGAGATGACGTAAATCTAGGAACGAGTCCCACGTGTGTGTTAAGGAACCTGCATCAGTTTACTCTGTTTAATCCTCAGTGAATTGTCTAGTGAAATGATTTCAGACCTGTATATAGGATCCCGCACCAGTTCACCTACTTTTTAATATTTGGTAAATTGCTCAGTAAAATGTTTAACAACTTTAGAAGGTCTATACATACCCCCACCCCCTACTCACAAGGGTATGTGTGTTTTACGTTCTTGTTATATGCATTTGTCAAGTCATCGCAGTTGGTTAACCCACCAGGGTCTGTCCCATGACCTCCTGCCAGCGGGGCCTTCGACACTGCACATGATAGTCTCGAAGTGCACCTAGCCTGGCACAAGCACCGTGGTGACATCACTTATTGGCGAATAGCGGCTGATGTTGTTGTACGTTTAATGAATGTGTGAGTGTTGTAGTAGAATACCAGGGTGGGGGGGGATATTTGTCTATTTGTTATCTGGCTACTAGTTGAGGTTCGTTTGCTGACGTTCTACATTTAGAGTTTTTGGCAGCTATAAATGTCCACACGACGATCAGCCACTTTGTTGAGCTATCATTTGTGGCCATATCGCTTCTGAAAAAAAATTAATAGCTCAGTGGGCCTTACCTGGTAAACGAAAACACTGATAAGTTTATTTATTAAATTGTAGTGATTTGCTTACCTTTCCTATACTTTTCACTCCTACAGTTTTTTTGGCACTGTTTGTTGTAACTTTCTGACCCACCTCTATTGGACGTCTGTGAAAAGCGCTTCACAGGTCATCGGACTTCTCCAAGCTAAATAAAGATTCTGATGCTCATTAGGAGTTCAGAATCATCAGAATGTGTATTTACACTTGAGGAATCCGATGAGCTATGAAGCTCTTTTTTCAGACGTCCAACAGTGGTACCATCGTCCTTACCTGTCCGTTCTTGAGGCCCACGAGAAGTCCCTCTCTCCCCGCGGGGCCGCCGATCACCTTGATGTACCGGATGAGTGACTCCATCACCCATTCACGCTCCTTCAAGCCGCCAAAAGTCAGGCACTGCAGCCGCTTCTCCTGGGCGTGGTGAAGTACGGGGACGGGGGAGGGGCGGAGGGGTCAGGAGGTCATGGGGTCAAGCGCAGCCGCACCCTCTCCTGGTTCATGCGAGAAATGTTTTGATACAGACGTCAATGACTCTCTGATCATCAGCCTTCTTTACTTGGCCGGGTCAGGGCCCATTAGCACGGTTGGCTACGTGCGGTGCTAAAAAAGAGGCTCAACATACATACACACATGCAGAGCCACTGTTGTGGAAGGTTACGAAGAGGTTCAGGGTCAAATTAGGACATGGGTTCGTGCGGTAGTTCCTAACATTTTTAGTATGGTGGCCGCCAATCAAGACTGCTGTTTTTCGAGAACTGCTCCGGTCTCAATCAAAGTGAATGAAGTTAAATTTCGATTTAAAGCTTTCGTGACTGCAGGGATTCATCTTCTTGGTTCTTTCGGTAAAGTCACGTAGAAGGGAAGTAATAAAATAATACAAATAAAACATTATAAAATAATTCTCACGACGTTTCGGCCACAACGCAAGCAGCCGTGCTCGGACGCTGTCTTTCTGACAGACCTGTTCTTCACCTGAGGACGGCTACTTGCGTTGTGGCCGAAACGTCGTGAGAATTATTTTATTATGTTTTATTTTTATTATTTTATTACTTCCCTTCTACGTGACTTTACCGAAAGAACCAAGAAGATGAATGAGGTTACTTTAATGCATAGGTCTCCGTTAAAGTGAATGAGGTCAGTTAAAATTGTAGCGCTGAATACAGTCCCTTTAATATATAGGTCATTTCCTTTGCAGCTCAGTATTAGCACATCAACTTTCAGTTGACTGGATAAATGCTCATTGAGATAATCTGTAATTGGAATTATAGTAACCTCGTAATCATTGAGGAAAGATTTGAGAATCGGTCAAGGTATGGTGCTATTACCCAAAATGACCTCTTCACATATTTAAAAATAAAATGTATATTCAAAGTGTGTCATTGGTGTCACGTTGCAAGACAAAGACACTCCCATCCGGAACGCGTGCAGCGAGCATTGTGTTGGAGGATGGCCTCGGAGACACTTCAAAAGGGCCCTTTAATATATATTTTACGTCCTGAAAAAGTGGTTATCGCTTGTAAAAAAAAAAATAATAATAATGATGTGGCTATGGAGAAACGCGGCTCGGCACGGGTTAATCATCATTGTTATCATCATCGTTATCATTACATTACCATAATTCATTGTCATCACAGCACCTGGCAGAGGATGATGTGTTTGGAGCAGACGACAAGCAGGTTGCAGTCGAAGCGCCGGCCGATCTTCTGTTTGACGCGGTACTGCATGTCGGCGGAGTCGTCCGACACCAGCTCGTAGATGACGATCTTCTCCGGCAGCTGGATCGCGAGCCGGTGTTGGTAAATGGCGATCTTCTTCACCAGCTCCTTGCAGCGGATCCTCACTTCGATGCAATCCACGCCGGTGATGGTGAGCGTAACAAAACATTGGAAACGTGAACCCCCCGCACAAAGCGATCGATGCAATGCACTCAAACGAAGAAAGCCGCAAAGTTGTACTTAATAACAGATGAAACAAAGAGTGTGCGGTTGTTTGGCACCTTTCTGCTCGGTGATGAGATGCTGCACAATGACGTCGGTCATGTTCTCGCGGAAGGCGTAGCGGTCCTTGTAGAGGCCGTGCACCGTGCTGAACACCAACTGGAAGTACGACACCGTGCCATCCTGGCTGCCCAGCGCCTAACGGGTGGGCGCACGAAATAACATATTTTTAAAAAGATACATTTCGAATTTTATTGTGGACGTGAAATGTCATTGCACAGCTCCCGACAGATGACGGGTCGTCTCTCCTCCCCAGCGGATGTTTGTACGTTCCAAGCGGTTACCCGCAGCGATTGCCTTTGGTTATGCAGGCTCCCCGAGGGGGTGGAGGAGGGTTACAGTCCCCTGACTCTGCCATACAGGGTTTGGCCAGGAGACGTCATTGATGCCTGTCCCCCTTGGTGGTATTATGCTTGGGTTTTGTGCCTCGTGGTCCTTCGGTTAGTCATTTAAGGTGGGGGGGGTTAATAGCCCCTTGCATCAGTCCAGACACACACAAACATATACCTATACCAAAGAACATAACCATACCAACCATTCTAGATTTGAAGCTTTCGTGACTGCAAGGATTCATACTCTTAGGTTTTTTCGGTAAAGTCACCTATGTGACTTTGTGACTTTACCAAAAAAACCTAAGAGTACACACCAACCATGCACAACTATGCCAATAAACAACTATCCCCCATATAATCCTAACAGACTGTAAGGGCAAGTGCTCTTAGCGAGCACATATGAAGGCCAACACGGCACACGAGGGAGTAGGTAGTTAGCACCACGCTCAACCACCTTTCAACCTCAAGGACACCCAGGACTGGTTCAGATAATTGTCGCTAGTGTTGGTGGCCGTGAGCGGGAATCAAACTCGAGTCGCCGGGTTCGTAACGCAGTGCGCTAACTGCTACAAGACAAAGATCCCCCATATAGCCTTCAAACTGTAGGGGCAAGTGCTGTTAGCGAGCACCTATAAAGGCCGGCTCGGCACACGAGGGGGTGGGTGGCCAACACCACGCCTGGCCGCCTTTGTCTCCCTAGCAGCGATGTTTACACATCGCACCAGGTACTCATTTGAGGCTGAGTCGACCTAGGGGAGGCCCGGGACAGGTTCAGATAATCGTGACTGGTGTTGGCCGTGAGCGGGAATCGAACCCGGGTCGCCGGGTTCGTACAGCAGCGCGCTAACCGCTCCACCACCGCGCACACCTACAATACACACGTCACCCCTACTCCTCCGTCACTCACCACGTATTCCGAGTCGGGCTTGACGCGGCAGCTCCACACCCACGCCGGGTGCTCCCCGACGGGGCCGAGGGGCACGCCCTCGCGCGTGTACAGGTGTGCGCGGCCGCCCGAGCCGCACACCACCACGTACTCGCCCTTGGAGAAGTAGCTCACGCAGCACGGGTCGAAGCCCAGCGTGCGGTCCTTGCCGATCTGCAGGGGGTGACATACATCATCGCCACCGGCACCGGTAGCAGCGTATATGTACGTTTGTTAATCTTCTTTCGCACCGTACGTAGCCAACCGTGCTAATCGGATGTGCAGACATAGCCACACCGAGCACCAGCATGGGCAGCAGCAGGCGAGTGATACCACTGGCTGAGAGGCGACACCATCCTCCCGAGACCGGCAGTCTCACCGGCCGTGCAGATTACGGACTCGGTGACGAGCGCAAATAGAGAGAAAATGGTGGCGTGTGGTCGGTGGCGTGGTCAAGGTAAGACGATCTTGTCGTGGTGTTGGTAGTGAACGTGACTCAAGTGGAAGTGTGTTGTGGTGGTGGTAGCGATGATAGCCATGCAAGGGTTAGGGGGTGTTGTGGTGGGTGTGATGGGATGTAGTGGTAGGAGTGGTAATGACGTCGGCCTTCATAGGTGCTCGCTAACAGCATTTACCCCAACAGTCTGTGAAGGCTATATGGGAGATCGTTGTCTTTGTGGTAGTGCTGATGGGTGTGATAGTGGTTTAGTGGTAGTGCGTTTGGTGGTGGTGGGTGAGGTGGTAGTGGTCTGAGTGGTGACAGTGTGTGTACATGGTTGTGGTAGGCGTGTTGGTGGTGGCAGTAGTGATATTTGTAGGCATGATAATGCAGAACTGTTCTACAGGGCTTTGGAGCCAGGGGTTTGTGAATCCTGCAAATTTCAGTTGCATTGAGATGCTATATTAATTGAAACTATTAATGTCATTGCACACGGAATGACTTGCCACTGCACCGCACGGTACCTGTTTGCCACTGAGCTGATAGAAGGACAGCTTCTGCCCCCAGTCCGATATCGCTAGTGTGTCGTGATGATCTTCCCTACGGGCAGCACACACCATAAAAACAAAATATAAATAGACCACGCGTTGTCCAGACGGACGCCTCGGCAAATCGCACCGGAGCCCTGCGTACCATCTTCAACGGCCGACTGCAGCCGACCTTGGGGCAAACCAGGGTTGTGGTGGACGCGCGCTGTTGAGGCCAATGTCGAACATCACGGTCTTAGAGACTGTGCTCAGCATTGCGGCGTGCTTAGGACAGGGTCGTCTGGCGGCGTCTTGTTGGGACCGCGACGTTCCAGCCAGGGGCATGCGACTGACGATGACGGTTCTTACCTCGTTTGTATCAGCACTATCCAGGCTCTCAAACATTGTACAAGGATCCCTCGTATAGCCTTAGCAGAATGCTGGGACAAGTGCTGTTGGCGAGCACCTATGAAGGCCGACACGGCACACGAGGGGGTGGGTGGCCAGCACCACGCCCGGCCGCCTTATCTCCCCAGTGGCAATGTTTACACATCGCACTAGGTACTCATTTGAGGCTGATTTGACCTAGGCGAGGCCCAGGACCGGTTCAGAATTGAACCTGGATGGCTGGGTTCATAGCGCAGCACGCTAACCGCTACACTACCACTGCCCAAAAGACACCAGACATCTTCATCTAGTGTCTCATCTGGTGTCTCCTGGTATGAGCTCTCACCTGGCCACAAGTGAATGTCTTCCCACGACGCGACGTGTCGTGACCGGGCCTTGACATCGGCCTCAGACACAATCGATTGCCAGGCTCGGCCTACATCTCACCGCGATGGGCTCCAGCAGATGGACCAGACGGGGTGGCCCCCTGGCCTTTCAATCTTCACCTTCTCTTCGCCGTTCTTGTTGCGGATGCTCACGACGCCGTTGAACATCCCCAGAGCCAGGTACTGCCCGTCATTAGTCCAGCTGGACAGACGTGGAAAGCCGAGAAGCGGGAAGCAGAGGATTGCGGCGGTCTTGGCATGACGGCGGTCATTCAAAACGTGGGGTTATATTGCGTTAAATGCAACAACATACTCAAGACAGGATACAGAAATAGTGGGCACATGTATACATGTAAGTACGTATACTTTTTATTGCAGGTGATGAGCACAGCCCCTAAAGAAACAAAACGCCAAGCGGCCAGCAACAAATGGCAATATTCAAGGTGTAATAGATAACAATGGTATGCATGTTTCAGTCAACTGCTCTCCTCCCTGCACGTGGAGCCTACTTCTGATATAATTTTATGTCTTTTCAACCAGTTTGATCCCAAATGTGCTATCGGTATCCTGTCATGAGACGAAATGTCACTTTGAATCCCAGTGCAACCCTTTGAGACAATGACCCATGTTACATAACTACTCCTGAAGATTCCTTCAAGCGACCTCTGCTCCACTTTCCCACCTGCTCTTCCACTGACAGGAAAGTTCGCCGCGTGACAAACCAACATTTGAATTCTCACGAGCAGGAATTTTTCAAAATTCCAATTTAATGCGATGCGCATTTCGTGCAGTAATTGATGGCCGTTAAAATTATTGACACCTCAGTACCCGGTTTAATCACAAGTGGCTGACACCTGGATATGAACCAAGGGGCTCATTGTTGTGACCTCTAATCCGCCCAACCACCTGCACGCATATTTTTTTCCGCAGCACGTGTTAAAACACGCGTGTGTTTTACCGCAGCAGGCGTTACCTGCAGCACTGTTATGCGACTGGAAGCCTTGTGCTTCTGCACTGACTTCTGCTCTGGTGACCACAACCCTGGCAAACATAGAACAGAAAGACAGCATTAGCATTATATAAACAGACAGGTAACAATTCACGTGCAAAAAAAATTAACCCGTAAAAACTAAGTTTTTCACTATAAATCCTTTATATGTGTGGCGGCTAGAGTCATCTCGTCCTCTGGCTTGATATGGCTGCCACCTATGGGTCAGATGATTGTCTGCCAGCATTAAGCAATTGGTAATTCAATATTTAAAACATTTTCCCTAAACAGTGTAAAATTTTGGAAAATTAATTGTCACGCACAACGAGTCTGTGTGCAAAATGTCAGCTCGATTGGATCACGGGAAGTGGGTTAAAAAACGACCGAAAGATTTGCACGGTCGTAAGCAAGCAAGCAAGCACGCAAGCAAGCAAGCAAGCAAGCAAGTGAACTTAATATAAAGGATTTAATAAAAAGCACAGCCTCTAAGCATTATGCAAAAAACATCAGCAACCCCATAAGAAGTGCCTTGTGGTCAGTCCTCTTGACTTAGGCCACTGTCAATATAAATTTGAGCAAATGTGATTGACAGGCAGCAGCGATACAGATGTAGAAATTGTCGACCGATTTCATTCTCATGGTTTTTCAGGCCTGCACTTTTAGTCTGTTATGGCGGCTTTGTCACATCATTTGCAAATTTGATCAAAACTATTTACGGTATCCTCGTATATTTTCTTATCTTCCATATATGTACAGAAACTCATTATGCATTGCTGTGGTGCATTATGGGTACCTCTGTCTCCACGTAAAAATGTTTTAGTCCACCAGCCTATTGCTTTCCAGACCAATATTATCCCGCGGCATATGTTTAAACAAGCAAACTCTCAAACGAATTCGACCTGGGTCTGATAAGCAGTCAAGCTTGAATTTCGATTTAAAGCTTTCGTGACTGCAGGGATTCATCTTCTTGGTTCTTTCGGTAAAGTCACGTAGAAGGGAAGTAATAAAATAATAAAAATAAAACATAATAAAATAATTCTCACGACGTTTCGGCCACAACGCAAGCAGCCGTCCTCAGGTGAAAACCAGGTCTGTCGAGGCGTCTGAACGCTGTCGCCTCGACATCCCTTCTACGTGACTTTACCGAAAGAACCAAGAAGTCAAGCTTGTCAAATGCTTTTTTTGTTGAATGGTGCTAAGTATGTTATACAGAGTGCTCTTACCAATAATGGGGGGTAGGGGTGGTGGAAAGGATTCAATTCACTCTAATGCACTCACCAAAATCGCTAGAGGAACATGAGGCCAACTGGTGGCTCACGGGGTTATAGGCCACACTCTGGATGACGTCATTGTGCCTGCAGAGACATGGGGTTGGGTAATGGGTCAACGGTCTATGTATTCATTCTGTCCTGCAAATCATACTCAGTTGCACACTCATCCAATCATCCACTCCGTCGAGTATTCTCTCATCCAGTCACCCATCTAATCATCCAATCACTCATTTACCCATTCACTCAATCATCACTCATCCGTTCATTTACTCTCATCAAATAAAGGGCATCAATCTCCCAATGTAGTAATTATTTCCTTATCAATGTATGTGGCCAGGTAGTGCAGACAAAAACTGATATTTTATCAAGCACTAAAAATTACATTTATTTGAAACACAGATGTGGTTGCATTCAAGGACCCATAAACCCAATTCACACTGCATTGTTTATCTGCCCAGAGATATTTTGTCTGGTACTTGACCCCGTTTGCATCCCAGGTCTCCCGTGACACAAACTAGTCTCAGTGAGCATATATGACCTTGTTTATTTAACAAAACGAAAGTGACTTCCTGCTCAAATGATCCCTGAGGCCGGTACTCATCTCCAATGTTTAGCCCTGAGGCAAGGGTGGAAATTTCACATTTCTATGGCAGGGCTGAGTTTATGCATAGGACCTCCCCACAAAGTGGTGCTCAATTTATTGACCCCCAGATGGATGATGGGCAGAGTTAATGCCCAAACAAGATTTTAACTCATGACCTTCCGACTGTTAGCCAACCGCTCTACCCCTGAACCACCTGGTATACTGTATATGCGAGTTGATGTATAATTGCGGCAAACCCACAAGTGTAACTAGATTTATGTACAGAGACCATTTGTCCTGCGATGCACTTCGATGACACTCCACGTCCTCTCTTGCCAAACAGACTTTCATCTCAATAGGATCCCACCTGGTTTTTAAGCGCGTGCGTGCATGCATCACTGCTTCTGTATACGAGTGCATATACATTTGTAAGCCTACAAATGTAATTGGTCTCAAGTCGCTCTAACGCGTTGTTATTTTTCCCGTGTCGGCAAAGTGTGCTGTTGCCAAGCGGCTCAAGGGATGCTGCGTGTGCCCCCAGATGTTACAAGATAAGCGCATCACACGAAACCCCACGGTAAGCCCGTGTAAGCCAAGAAGCTTTAACCGGGCGTTTGAGTGAAAACCCTCAGTGTGAGGATCACTTTGCCTGCAATTCACCCAGCGGACACATCGACTGATTCACTTGAGTTACATGCTCATAGGCACTCGGCAACCTCATCACTCTTCTATCGCTACCACCATGGTTGCCTTTCCCGTGAACTTCACTCACCGTCTATGTTGAGGACTCGGTCTACCAACATGACCGTTTGATCTCATCCGTACTGTGTTCAACAAAACTCTCCTCTTTCCGCTTCTTCCCTCACACCACTCCACTGTGGAATTCCCCCCCATCGTATCTTTTTCCAAGTCCTTGTAATGACCTTGCTCAAGGCAAGACACGTACAAATTCGTATCAATTACCACTTTCATTTGTGCTGTTTATTTCTGGTCGCTTGGTGTTTTGGGCCTTTGGGTCTGTGCTCAGCAACTGTGCTCTATAAGAAACCTCTTGCAATCACCCACCCATCTAACTATCAATTTTAGCACAGGGTCACAGTTTCAATTCCTGCTACTCCCTTCATAAGCATATGTGTGCATTTCACTGAATCGGAGAGCTGTAACCATTACCCACTTAATACTGGCACCTGCACACTCAATAAAAAAAACAGTCCCTTTGTCAATCCACTGCCGGATGAAGTCCTCCAACACCAACCCATAATATGCCCTTACGTGTATTTGAGGATCCCTTCAAGCTTGGACGTCCAAATGATGACGCTTTTGTCTGCTGAGCCAGAGGCAAAGCGTTTCCCTGTGCGAGAAACACAGGCGTCAATCTCCGCAGAGCAATCCTCACGATGTCGCCATCATACAAATTATATCAAAATCACATGTCATGATCATATCGTAATTATCACAGTTATATCACGAGTCAAACACATAAACATTACAGTTATGCCGTCGTCATGATCATGTCATCATCACAATCACGTAATCATTATCAGAGCCAAATCATCACAATGATGCCATCAGGATTTAATCATATGAATCTTCCTCATCACTACAATCACATAATTATTGTCATCAGCTCACCATCCTTTGCATATGCCACGCAATATACTGTGTCTTTGTGTCCTTTCAGTGGCTGTATCAGCGTCCCATCCGACGTGTCATAAACCTAGCACATGCATGCACCAAAACAAAAACATTTAGCGGCTTCTGCTGGAAAGCATTCGGAGAAGAAAAAAATTAAAGCCGGGTCTGCAACCTGCTTTGTCAACATCGGAGTGAGTGACTGTGCAACAAAGGAATTAAATTGGCATAATCAGGATCATAACAACCAATCGTAGTTTGCAAATGTGCAATTTGTGTAAAAATACGTCGCTAGTAATTCCTGAGCAGCCGTGTCTATCTCTAAGCAACATGCCAATGTGTCTGAAGGTTAAAGTTTTTAAATGTGGCACGGATCGGAAATGTGTACACTGCAAATAAGTATGGAAAATAAGTACAGTAAAACCTCGTTATTTCGGTATTTGATCATTCGTAATTGGGGATAATTGGGCACGGCTGCGCTTTCAGCATATATACAGTATTAGTAATTCACCATGAGCCGAATTGCCGTACCGAATGGTCCAATTTTGGCATACAAGTGAAAGTGACGCCGCTCCACGACCAAAACAATTACTCAGTCTAGTGGTGGCGCGCGCGGTGAAACGTTAGTGTAGTGCTGGTTACTGATGGTAAGTGTTACTCTTTTTGGAAAATAATTTGGATTTTTTATTGGGGCAGAAGCCACTGAGAAGTGCCATTGTACATCATTCGGAAGATTGCATAATTTGGCAAGGCCAGAGCCCCTTATGAGTAGAATTAACAAGGGTTTACTGTATGGAAAGTTGCATGCTTGGAATTATACTGTCAGAAGGCGGAACACATGGATCAGAGAACAAATGCAAGCTCGAGACACCATATTTGCCGTTAAGAAAAGTGGGCTTGGGCAGGACATGTCTCCAGAAAGGGGTGATGGCCGATGGGCAGAAATAACGACTGAGTGGCAGCCACAGAAGGGAATGCGCCCAAGGCAGAGGTCGCAAACGGGTTTTGATTCCTTACCCGTACCCGGCCGCACCAGGGTCGCAATCGGGTACCCGTACCCGTACCCTACCCGATATCCGGCTACCCGTACCCGGCCGGGTATCGGGTAGGGTACGGGTATCTGATTGCGACCTCTGGGATGAAGCCATGTTGCAGACGCGGGTGGGTTGATTCTAGGAACTTGAATTGTGAGAAGAGACAAGACGTTGGGAAATGAGTGACAAACGGTTACTCACCAGTGACTCACGGCCTACCCGTACCCGGCCGCACCAGGGTCGCAAATGGCTACCCGTCACTGTACTCGGCCAGGTACGGGTAGCCGGGTATCGGGTAGGGTACGGGTACCCGGTTGCGACCTCTGGCCCAAGGTGATGTCGAATGTGGGGATGCCTCATACTCAGGTGCTCAGTGCATTGTTGCATCATGGGAATGTGAGGGATGGTGACGGCTTGAGGAGGCCTTCATCCAGCAGTGGACTGATCATGGCTGATGATCACCGTTTTGCAATTGTATTGAGACTAGACTGTACTTCACAGACTGTGGACACTAAACTCACCAGGACCTTGGTGCCTGCTGCCACGATCAGCTGTGTCCCATCTGGTTTGAACGCCAAGTCATTTATGCTGAGGAAACAGGTGGTTTGTTAAAGGGAAGCAAAAGTCAATGAAAATACAGTCTGTTCTCCTAGAAAGCAGTCGTTGCGTTCCTGAAGAACACCGCGTTATGATAAATAATATGGGGTAAAGCACAGTCCGCGATAACACGTGAGATGTGTACACAGGCTAAACAAAGACCGGAGGCACGTGGAAAGCATTTAGAAGCATCCAGCAGCATCCCAATGCCTCGAATTATATGATGCTACACCGAGGCAGCCGCACAACCGCTTATTCCTACTAACGCGACATAATTCTGTTCGCTCGATCGCGTTATATCTAATTCGCATCCGCTTTCAAAAATGTGTTCCCTAATACATTCATTGCATTATATCCAATTCGCGTTATGAAAACGCGCGTTATAGGAGAATTGAGTGTACATCTGATGGTGCTTATCTTATAGCTACATACCAAGGATGTTTTTTTTCCTGCGCTCTGACATGAGGATGAAGTTTGAAAGGTGCGAAAAAAAAATCTTATGGTTTCGCAGCAGCATTTCGCCTTATTTTTAACCTGATGGTGCAATTGGTGTAATGTCATTCGACGAAAAACACGATCGGATGTCTTCGAGGGCGGTGCTAACCCTCTGTGTGAGAGAACATCTTGCGGAAGCAGATATCACAGAGCTACCTCCTTCAAGTGACCGAGTCCAAAATTAACCCGTAAAAACAAAGTTTTTCACTATAAATCCTTTATATGCGTGGCGGCTAGAGTCCTCTCGTCCTCTGGCTTGAGATGGCTGCCACCTATGGGTCAGATGATTGCATGGCACCATTAAGCAATTGGTAATTAAATATCATATTTTTGTCCTAAAAAGTGTAAAATTTTGGAAAAAAAATTTCACGAACATTAATTGTCACGCACAACGAGTCTGTGTGGAAAATGTCAGCTCGATTGGATCACGGGAAGTGGGTTAAAAAACGACGGAAAGATTTGCACGGTCGTAAGCGCGCAAGCAAGTGAACTTAATATAAAGGATTTTAAAAAGTAGGGGGCAGCAGTTTCCCACTTTCCCGGCTCTGCCACAGAGAGTCGTATCTTGATTTGAAGCTTTCGTGACTCCAGGAATCAATACTCTTTGGTTCTTTCGGTAAAGTCACGTAGGTAGAAATAAAATAAATCACGTTTCGGGCGCATCACAAGCCTTTGGCTCTCCCACACCTGATGACGGACGCTTGTGTTGCGCCCGAAACGTGGGGGGTGGGAGGGGTGGTGCTGGGTGGGGAGGGGCTGGGTGGGGAGGGGCTGGGTGGGGGTGGGAGGGGTGGGGCTGGGTGGGGAGGGGCTGGTCACCCCGTGGTGCCCTTATAAAACTCAACGTTTAACCTACTCACGCCGGCTTGTGCCTGCCCTCACAGTCGGCATATTTGCGGAATACACCACGCCGCCGTTGACCCTGGCCATTGACCGAGCAACCCAACGTTCCTACCAGCTCCCTCCGCAGGAATGTGTTTCTATGTATGTACGTATGTTTAACTTCTTTCGCACCGTACGTAGCCCACCGTTCTAATCGGTGGTGCGGGGGGGGGGGCAACAACGCAACGTAACACAACATCAGCTATAAATAAATTATAAATGGCAGCACAGTCCCCACCACCACCGTATTTTAAATCAAACGTGGGGTCATTCTTCTAATCGAGTGTGCGTGTGTGAGATGGAATGTGTAACAACTTTATTAACCCTTGGCACGGCTTTGTTTGAAGTCTTGCCTTCCAACGATGCGTTTTATACTCTTTGGTTCTTTCGGTAAAGTCACGTAGGTATCATTTTATTTGAGGTATAATTATATTTTCTACCTACGTGACTTTACCGAAAGAATCAAAGAGTATAGATCCCGGCAAGTCACGAAAGCTTCGAGTCAAGATTGACGCGTTTTATACTAATTAAAAAAAACACGAAGGCTCCGTTGAGACGAAAGGCTTGTTAGTGGGAATGCAAACAAACGTCGAGCAAATGAAACGTCGACTATCTTAGCAAATTAATTACATTCTAAATATTAAAATACGAACGCGTTTAGTGTCGTGGTTACCATGGCAACCCGCACCGCGCTGTTCACTCAACACCCGGCGCGTCGCTTTAACGCTCTAAAAGCAACGATAACATTACAACGATAACATTACGATACATTAACAACGATGCTTTACAACGATGCATAACATAACAATGGCAATATTACACTCGAAGTTTAAAATAATCGTCAACATCTCTCCCCCCCCGCCTCACCATTGCTCCGCTTTATCCTTGTCGTACGCTTTGTCGTTCCACGACGGGACGGCCCTCATGGTGACTTTTAATCTCTCCCGTAACCCTTAGTTAATTGACCCTTTTAACCGAGAAGCTAAAGTTTAATTTGTTAAACGTCTTCGTTGTTTGTTTGTTACAAAGCTCTGCACCGACGTGCAATGTGACAGAGCGCAATTTAATTCCGTACAACGTACAGGGTGCCGTGTCCATCCTCCGCGCCACCGATTGGTCGAGAACCGACCCCTTCCCCCGCCCCTTTCTTTCCCTGCAGCCAATCGGCAAGCGGCATCTTCGGCGCGTTCTTTATCCGCGCTACCAATTCGGATCGCGGCCGCCAGCGCGCATGCGCAGTTGAGGGCAAAGCGGGGCTTTCTCATTCTTAGGTTTCAAGCCGGGAACGATCAACGTGGTGCGGTGGCCTAAGGAGGAGACAAAATCGGCGACGTTTCGGGCAACGGACCTTTCTTCGTAGCGCAATTTAGGGACTCGTCGCCACAGTTATAGTCACCGATGCTCACAGCTGCAAAAATCTGACCTCTGGAAAACATTTAAGGTGGTATCTCCACTCCGCGCTTATGAGGCCCATTGGTTTGGCTGTGATGCCAACACACACAAATCCACATCTTAAATAACCACAAATTCAGTGTTTAATTACCGAAAAGAAAAGGGTACACGATTAACAAGTTCGAAACGTATAACCCGTGCCCTTTAAAGCAGTCATAATCAGATCACACTGGAGGAATCCGTTGAGCGATAAAGCGATTTGTTTACAGATGTCCAGAATATGAGAATAGGGTTTCCCATTTTTTATGGCAACAAAACAGATGTTAAGATGTTAAAACACCAAACTGAAACCTTTTACAAGGAATCATGTCTGCATTAACCACAGTACTCTTTGGTTCTTTCGGTAAAGTCACGTATAAAGATAGAATAATAAATTAAATACTAATAATAAATACTATTTTATCTTTATACGTGACTTTACCGAAAGAACCAAAGAGTAATTCCTGCAGTCACGAAAGCTCCAAATTAAGTTTTTATTAACCAGTGTTTGTGGTCAGAATGCAAACCAAAAACGTACTCTAATAATAAGTGCATTGTCTTTGAAACTGATTGGTCCACACCAGAAACAGCTTTCTTTTGACCCTAGTCTCAAAAGGTGTTAGGCCAGAGGAAGCCAAAAGGCGTACAGCTCAAAGACAACGCACTGTCAGAGTAATGAGGGCTCGGCGGTGAGCATCTACATCATGGGACCTCATTTGCCAGTACCAAAATGTGAGAACAGGTTTTCCCCTTTTTTCTGGCAACAAAACAGGTGTTAAGATGGTAAAACACCAAACTGATACATTTTACAAGGAATCATGTCTGCATTAACCACAATACTTGTGGTCAGAATGCAAATAAAAAACGTACTCTGATAATATATACAGACATGATTCCTTGTAAAAGGTTTCAATTTGGTGTTTTAACATCTTAACACAGCTGTTTTGTTGCCATAAAAAAGGGGAACCCTATTCTCATATTTTGGTAGTGGCAAAGGATGTAGATGCTCAGCCACGGGCCCTCATTACTCTGATAGTGCATTGTCTTTGAGCTGTACACCTTTTGGCGTCCTTTGGTCTAACACCGTTTTCAAACTAGGCTCAAAAGAAAGCTGTCTCTGGTGTGGAACAATCACTTTCAAAGGCAATGCATATATTATCAGAGTATGTTTATTTTCTTTGCATTCTGACCACGAGTATTATGGTTCATGCAGACGTGATTCCTTGTAAAAGGTTTCAGTTTGGTGTTTTAACATCTTAACACCTTTTTCGTTGCAAGAAAAAAGGGGAAAACCTATTTTTGTTATTTTGGTACTGGTTAAGGAGGTGTCCCATGATGTCGATGTCCAGAAGTTGTTTAGTAAGAAAGTGTTCCAGAGTCATGTAACGATGGGGACCCTTCGTTCGTTTCTCAATCCTGGTGTTAAACTAAAAAAAAATACCGAAAGAACCAAAGAGTTTAAAAACAATTATGCGGGTTTTGTTTTACCCAGGAGTGAGCTTAATGACTCTTCTTTTTCAGGAGTGCCCTGCCAACTCTTTAGAAAACATTTATGACATAAATGAGCGAAAGTCGCACTGCTGTTGTTCGTCTTTTATTTTTGTTTGTTTCCACCTGTGGAGGAGACGTACACCGTTATTTCAAAGCGAAAATAAAAAATCAACGCCCCCATCCCTGCCAACTCTTTAGTTACATTTTCTGACAAATCTGAGGGTGTAATCCGGTTCATGGATGGGTTTATATTTTGCACCCCGATGGTATTTTTTGTATTGTTGTAATGTTCTGACCCCGTGCCCCGCTGACTGAACATCTGTGGGGGGAAAAAAGCTTTATAGCTCATCGGATTCCTCCTGCAGTATTAATACATATTTGTATTTGTGGCCAAGTCGCTTTGAAAGAGAAGCTAATAGCTCAGTGGGCCCTACCTGCTAAGATACAAAATAGTTTAGTTTTATTAGTACAGTAAAACCTTGGATTGCGAGCATAATTCGTTCCGGAAACGTGTTTGTAGTCCAAAGCACTCGTATATCAAAGCACTCGTATATCAAAGCACTCGTACATCAGTTGTGATCACGTGACGCTCGGCAGACAAAGCGTATACACGTACCACTCGTATTGCAAGACCTCGCTCGTTTATCAAATTAATATTTATTTAAAAAATTAGCTCGTCTTGCAAAACACTCGCAGACCAAGTTGCTCGCAATCCGAGGTTTTACTGCTATTCAGATTCTGAAACCCCCTGCGAAATATCGCGAGACTACGCGGGCGCGGCCTCCGCGAGATTTCATTTCGTACACCGCACAAGCATGGGCAGTGGGCACGCGCGCTGCGTCACGTGGCAACGCCCCGTCCATTCGTTAGCGGCGGCGTGGGGGGGGGAGGGGGGAGGGGGGAGGGTGTGGCCCCGCCCCGCGCCGCCTCGCGCATCCTGAGTGGGAAATCCAAAGGCGGTTGGCGGGAAACGCGAGGGAAGTCGAGGAGGCGAGAGAAGCGATGGCGACGGAGGCCTCAGGCGGGTAAACCAAAACAACCACCAAACACACACGGTCGGCCTCGTCCGTGAGCCGAGCGAGGCGCTAACGTCGCGGCGGAGACGGAATGACGGCTGAGGGTTAATGATGAAGCGGTAGGAGGGTGGGTAGGTGGGTGAGGAAGATGGCGCGCGCCGCGAGTGGGGGGTTAGTCGGGCCTAGTGTAAAACGCACATGGTCCAACGTTACGTGACATTAGTAATGTAAAGTTGTCGTTGTGAGGAGAATGTTTGGGTGGTGGTGGTGGTGGTTGTTGCTGCTGCTGCTGGTGGTGGTATTATTCGACGGGCGCTACGCACGCGGAGACGAAGCGATACGCATGTGCTTGAGGCTCGGGAGCCGTGGGGTTTGCTTCGCAGGGGTCGGAAGCGAGAGATGGCGGCGGCCTGGGAATTACTTTAATTTATATTTCGATTTAAAGCTTTCGTGACTGCAGGCATTCGTCTCATTGGTTCTTTCGGTAAAGTCGCGTAGAGGGAAACTAATAAAAATAAAACGTGATGAAATAAAATTATCACGACGTTTTGGCCACAACTTTAATGCAGCAGTGGATTGTTGCACGGCGGCTGAAAATTAACGGCGTTCTTACATTGGCCGTATAATATTGTTGCGTGCATTCGAATGGCGTGATACCCCCACTTAGATTAAGTTTGGCACAAGTTACGTAGTGTTGGCCCGATTTCACTAACACGCGTTCTCTATTAATACGAATGTAACACCCCATACTATTACACAGTGCTCGAATTAAGACTATTGGTAAACTACCTAGAGAAGTGTATATTTAGTCATGCAATAGTGTGTCACTTCTACACGTTATTGTGCACTTAGACCTGCTAAGACTCACTGAGGTGAGAGTGTGCAGGCATTAGTTGGAATGTTTTGGGACGCATCGGTCACATGGATCGATCATAACTATTGATGAGTAGTAACTAACATGCCTATTGACACGGTACAGTACTAATAACATAGTACCGTACAGACCACGAATCGCAGCAATTCCGAAAATAAAAAATTCCGAAAATAATGTATTTATAGTCGAGTAAAATTTTATATCGCTCCGAATTTTTTTAAATAAAATATAACGTTAGTGTTTAGTACTGTCCTTTATATGAATACTGCTAATGGTAAGTACGGTCTAAACTTGGAATCCAGTATTAATACTCCTGATTATTGTGTGGCGTCAGTTTTCTGTGTATATGATAGTTGCCCGCAAACATCAATTGTCTTCGCTTTCTGTTAAGGCTATACGGGGAATTTTTGTTGTCTTATTCCCATGCGCGTGTTTCGGTGGCGCATTATCTTCTTCTTCCTCTAACCGTGTGCTCTGTTGTGTGCATGTGAAACTGTGTCTGTCTGGCAGTAAAGCGTTGCTGAGCAGTGGAGAGGTTGCGGGAGCATCCTCCGTGCCAGACGGCTCAGCCGTTGCCACCATCAGTAGTGCGGGCGCCAATGGTGAACCGGAACCTGCTCGTTCTGGGAAACCAGAACATGTCCCGGCAGCACCGTCACCACAAAGGGAGAAACGCGCCGAGGAGTCGTCAGAAATGAAGGGGGGATTGCCGGAGCAGCCCAAACCGGTGAAATCGGAGGAAGCTCGCGCCTTGGCAGAACCAAACAAACGCCAGGAACTGCTCGAGTTATCAAAACCGAAAGAGCCGTCCGAGTCGAAGGAACGGCAGGAAGCGGTCAAGCCTGCGGAGCCTAAATTAACGAGCAGCAAACCACAAGAACCACTCCCATTATCAAAACCGGCAGAATTGAAGGGACTGCAAGAACCAGTGAAATTACCTGAAACTAAATTAATGAGTAACAAACCACAGGAAGCGCTTCCATTATTAAAACCAGCACAATCGGAAGAATCCAAGGCGCTGCAGGAACCGGTAAAGTCGACGGACCCAAAAGTTTCGGGGGAACCAAATAAACCGCAGGAACCTGTGGCGCTGACAAAATCGAAGGAGTCGGGAGACTTTAAGGTTTCACATGAATCGGTCAAGTCTGTGGAACCTCTCGGATCCTCAAAACCACAGCAGCCAGTGAAACCCAAGGAGGACACCAAATCGGATAAACCACAGGAGTTGGTAAAATCGGCAGAACCTAAGCAACTGGTGGAACAAAAGCAACGACAAGAATCGGTGAAATCTGCAGAACCCAAGGACATGGCGGTGCCTAAGACTCAACCTGAATCTGTAAAATCTTCAGAACACAAGAAAGAAGTGGAACGAAAGCTGCTACCACAAGAACCAATGAAATCGGTAGAGTCCAAGAAAGAGGAGGAACAAAAGCAAACGCAACCACCACCGATGAACTCGACGGAACAAAAGGTGGTAGAATTGAAAACTTGTGACTCTGTAAAGTCTGCTGAACCCAAGAAAGAAGTGGAACGAAAGCAACAAAAAGAACCGGTGAAATCTGCAGAACACAAGGAGATGGTTGAGCCGAAGACTCGGCAGGAACCTGTTAAATCGGCAGAACCTAAGAAAGATGTGGAACGAAAGCAACAAAAAGAACCGGTGAAATCTGCAGAACACAAGGAGGCGCTTGAGCCGAAGACTCGGCAGGAACCTGTTAAATTGGCAGAACCCAAGAAAGAGGTCGAACGAAAGCAACAAAAAGAACCGGTGAAATCTGTAGAACACAAGGAGACGGTTGAGCCTAAGACTCGGCAGGAACCTATTAAATCGGCAGAACCAAAGAAAGAGGTCGAACGAAAGCAACAAAAAGAGCCGGTGAAATCTGTAGAAAACAAGGAGGCGGTTGAGCTAAACTCTTGGCAGGAATCGGTGAAATCGGCAGAACCCAAGAAAGAGGTGGAAGGAAAGCAACACAAAGAACCGGTGAAATCTGCAGAAAACAAGGAGGCGGTGGAAGAACCCAAGGCAGCAGCACCGGTGGAACTGAAGGAATCGGAAAAGTCAAGAGAGCCGAAGTTACCGGCGAAGCACAAGGAAACCCGGAAAGCGGCCATGAAGAGAGCGGAGCAAGCCGCAGAAAAGAGCTTGCACGCAGACGCAGAAGGTTCCACCTCTGGTGTAAGCAAATGCATCATTGAGCAGTGCACCCAAACTCGATGCTAGAGGCAGGTCCACGCCAGAGAGATCAGTTGCGCAACCAAATCGCGCCAAGTTTATTGCGCAATCAGGATAAGAGTGTCCGGGAAATTCAAAGCCTTGGTATTATTTCATTGCCATAGTCTCCAAGTTATAAGACACTCCAAAAAGTTGTGCCAGTGTCAGTAAAGTTATTCTAATTTGGTCTCGCACATGCACTTCTACTGGATGACAACACACAGCCTCAGCTATTCTTTCTTTTTAAATGCAATGAAAAATCTGGAAAATGCGATAACGACATTCAGTGCTAATAACTTTGTCTTTGAACAGTTCCACGATTTCTGCATGGGTAATCTTCCATTGTAATTCTTTTTTTCTTAACTTTCATTCCAATTGTGTGTTCGGTGTTATTACATGAACAATCTGTTTGGAGATCTTAAAGAAGTGCAACTGTACCTTTACCTTGCAGGCAGCTGAGGAAAAAGAGAAGTCTGAGGGTAGTGGCTCAGTCACCGAAGCCAAAGTCGAAGCCAACACTTCTGAGTCACCGATGCCCGAGGGCTGGCGCCGTTTGGTGATGCAGCGGCAGGCCGGAGAGACGGCCGGCAGATACGACGTCTACATATTCAGGTGTGGTGCGGGCAAGGTGGGGGGGGGGGGGTAGCAGAGAGTGACGGAGAAAAGTGAAACCCCCCTCCTTCACTTGTTCCTGTCCTTCACAGTCTTGTGTCAGTTGTTTGACCCGCTTATTGTTTCATATTATCACATGTCATCCATTTGATCTCGGGTCATCCCGTGTAAGTAGATGATAGGCATTACCTTCATTCAGTCTGCAGTCATTGCGCTGCAGTGCCGAGATGTTAACTCCCTTGCCTGGTATGGAGGAGGTTGTGGGTTCGATCCCGACCCTGACGATGCCTGCATATTTGGAGTTTGCATGTTCTCGCTGTCGCCATGTGGATTTTTTCTTTTCCCTCCATATCTAAAAACATGCGTTTAGAGTATTTGGCTGCTCTACATTTCCACGTGATAAGCCACTAAATTTAGCTATTATTTGTGGCGAGGCACTTTTAAAAAAGAGCTTTATAGCTCCGTGGCCCTTACCTGGTAAAATAAAAATGGTTTAGTTCATAGTTTAGTAAATACCAGCCAGTCAGTTGCTTGCACTTTATTGGGTTGTAGCTACGCATGGTTGGTGCAGCGATTTCCTTCACTAAACTGTTTAAAAGTAAGAGTTTCCCTATTTTGAAGGTGGGGAAGTACAGTCTTCATCCCATAAGCTGTCACTACCTATTGTACGCTTGTTTGGGAGCTGTGAACGCTCTACATAAAGCAACTTTTTATGCCACCCAATGGATTACCAAACTCAACGAAGCGTTAAAATCTGTGACCAGTTGCTTTGCACGTCCAATTAGCACTGTTGGTTACGTACGGTGCAAAAGAAGTTCAACATACAAATGCCGTAAAAAAGAGCAACCGAGAAAGTGTTCACAGCGTGTTCTAATACTGTGCCGATGCTGCTAGAGTTTAAAAGTTATTAACTCTTGAAAAAAAATTCTCATTTAAACCCCCCCCCCCCCTCGCAGCCCGAGTGGTAAGAAGTTCCGCTCGCGCCCGGAGCTGGCGCTCTTCTTAAAAACGCTGGGCGATACAGCGCCCTCCGCCGATGACTTCGACTTCCGTAGCGGCACCGGCAAAATGGCAGCGGTGGCCGCCAAGATGCGAGTTGCTTCGCCCCGGGGCAAAAGCGAAACTCGCCGGAGCAAGAGTCCCCGCGCCACCACCGCCGAGAACTCCCCATCTACCCCGCGCACGCCAAAATCTCGCGCCTCCGCCCGGAGGAAGTCTCCCGCCTCTGCCACCAAGAAGGGTGGAGACGCAACGCCGCCAGCATCGTCGTTGGAAAAAGTGGGGGGGCGGCGGCCGTCGCGAAAGACGGCGGCAGTGACGGCCGAGGTTTCGCCTTCGCCGTCCCGAAGTCGTCGCAGCCGCAGCCGAGAGACGTCGATGACGCCGCGTAAGCGGGCAAAGCCGGCGGCGCCCCGGGAGAGCAACGATGGAGGGGACGATGAAGACAAAGAGGAGGAGGAAGCTTTGCCACAGCGGCACCACGGCAAGAAGAGGGCGGTGCTGAGCAGCGATGACCGCGAAGACGAATTGTGCACGCCCAAGAAGCGGGCGAGGGGTCCGAGCGCCGGTGCCAAAGAAGAAACGACCGGTGATGGAACCTCAGCGGAGGTGAAGAAAGTTGGAAGCCCAGGTAGCGCCTGATGACTCCCGTGTGCCTGGATGTTGTGGTGGTGGAGCCGCCGGGCTTTAGCGCCGGTGGGAAGAGGGAGGAGCGGGGTCAGGTGGTTCCCGTGCGGTTGGCCCCTCGCTGGCGCCGAGGGCTGCGACGCAGAGAATGTAGGCGACGCGACGAGAGTGGTGCAGAGAGACGCGTCGCGGTCTCACTCAGGTTGTGTGTTCGGTGTGTGGGAGGCGCGTGCAGTGTGCGGGGTTTGTGTGTCTATTTAGTGTGTGGAGTGTTGCGCTATGTGTGGTGTGTGTGAGTGTATTTGGTATGTTGTGTGGTATGTGTCCATGTAGTGTATGTGCAGTGATTAGGAGGTATTCGGCATGTAACGATTAATATATTGATTTCTATCGAATGTTAACATTTGAATTTAATCTCATACATTGGTACAATGGCTTTTAAAGGGCCCCTCCTGCCTCTGTCCAGGGGCGGCCCGTCCATATTGGCGAACTAGGGCGGGCGCCTAGGGCACCAAGTTAAATGGGGCGCCAAATTCGAGGAAAAGAATACAACTAAAATATACAAATTAAAGACCGAAGATATTTTTTCAATCCCTGTGCGCATAGAGGGAATATGAGTTATTCATTTCTCAACATTTCTGAGAATGTATTGGTTGGACCTACTGACGGATGGACAAACCGAATAATTATGCCTCTATTAAAAAAAAAATACTCTTAAAAACATTAAACGTAAAATAGAGGCTAAATGTTTCCCAGTTTACCAAAAAACCTCCGCCTCGTGCTGCCCTTGGGGTTTGGGGTGGGGGCACCGGTTGCATGGTTTGCCTAGGCCGCCTGTTGCTGGCAAGCTAATCTAGGGCTGCCTCTGTCCACCCAGCAGTGTGAATTGGTTCACCATGTCGATCGGTGGGTGACGTGTGAATACTTCCACCTTTTCCAATATCAGTTTCGAAGAGTAGGCAAAATATACCTTGACATGAAATGTTATATTGGGGAACCACTAATTGTTACAAGCCTAATGCCTCGATCGACTAGCTTGTGTACGTGTTCTGCGTGTGTTGTAAACGATCAGACTTGGTGGAGATCACACGGCAAGCCCCATGTATAGGCGTGTAATGATACGTTTGATTTATCGTCCATCGCTCACGGTTAATCTGCATCCTTATCTTACCCATTCTGCTGTGTGTGTGCGCGTATGCCAGCGGTATTGTTAAGTGCATTGATGAATCGTGGGTTAAATTGGTCTCCTTGTACGGGAGACGTCCTGTAATGTAGAAGTGATTGATGTGTCGAGGTACACCACAATCGGCTGTGTCGCTTAAATTAAGGACCTTTCCACGTTAACCGTTTCTGTCGTGGTTTTGCACCCCGGGAGTTGACGTCTTATTGATCGTACATTTTTCAGTGGTAAGGACGATACTGATGAAAATGGACACGCGGATTGAATGATAGAATCGGAAAACGACGATACTGATTGTCACATTTTCTTCTTAATCCAGGTCTACGCCTTTCGAGATCACTTGTGCAACCAAAATCACTCAAAATCGTGCAACCTAATCACCCCCAGCAGCTTTGTCCACATCTGTGTGAGTAGTTGTACAACAAAAAGACATGTCTGAGTGTCTATATCTGGATTGTAACATTTTTTTTTTACAATTCAGAAACTGTAGCGTGTGATGATGCGATACGTTGCTATCATTTCTCAGAGCAGATCGATTGTTGTGAGTAGTCTATACTGTGAGCAATCGGTTGCGAAGACGTCCGCGCATAAACGATTCGGTTGCGTGCAACCAGGTTGCACGCAACTGATCGCTCGGGTGTGGATGCAACGTAACTAACGTCGAGTTTTTTCCACAGAACAAAGTTCGCGTCCGTTGTTTATACTGATCACAAGTAATTCTTGATTCCGCATCCTAACCCCAATGTGATACGCTGCCCGTGTACAGACCTTTTATCAATCCACTGCTGGATGAGGGCCGCCGCGCACCATGGGGGTTATTTGGTGATGCTTTAAGCTTTAGGATAGTCGCGTGGTGTGGGTAAGAGTTTGAGGAATTAATTCCGCTCTTTTAAGAATGGAACGGCAACTGCGTCGTTGGAACGGAATGAGCGTTTTTCTTGAAGCATTCACAGTGCGACGTCGCATGTCCGACCCACTGGCGACTGAAGCATAGGCGAATATGTGAAAAAGTCAAATGCCGCGTGAACGTTTTTAGATACTGCCAGGTTTGCGCCGTTAGTGGCAATTAGGGTTACTGCACACAAATCAAGCGCAAACTTTTAAAAGTCGGGATAATGCTTTACTGTACTTAAGAGGTAAGCGATTGTAGGCTAGATGAAGAAGACATGACCGTGCGATAAGGTCAGATTTACAATCACCAGATTGTGACCGGCCGTTGCACCCCCGCACACAGCTACTGACTGCTTCACTGGATGTAGGCAGTTAATTGGGCAGGGCGGATGTTGTACTGTATATACAAAATGGAGAGTGTTAGAAGTTTGGGGCCACAGCTGTGTAGATGGCCGAGGTAAGTCTCGAGTGGATGGGGGCGGGTGATGGTGGTGGTGGTTCGTCAGAATCGTAAGATTTCGGTGCCAAATTATACTTTCCCCACCCCCCACCTGTCCACTGTCTTGTACGATATTTTTCAAGTCCTTATGTAATCTTATCCCACCCCTCCATATAATAATTTAGTGTAATTCCATACCATTTTCTTGGCGAGACTGCATTAGCAGTGTTTTGTAATCGCAAATAACAAAAAACACTGCGTCCTTCAATAGCCCTGCCCTAAAAGGAAATGCATATGGTAATACAGTGATACACGGCGTGATGAACTGCGATGACGAAGGGGCATTGCTTGAAACGTCGCGTATGATATCTTCCTATTAGGGTAGCATCTTGCTTCACGCGTTGAGTTTGTGTTAGCATGATTAGATGTTGACGTATAGTTTTTGTTTGGTTTTAGTCATCACAAGACTCAAGGTCTGTTCTTTAATTTGTGTTTCTTTTGCATGTTGTTAACCGGACAAATCGGGGAGCGTCGTCAGGTCCAGTAGAGTACGTTCGTTTGTTTCTCAGTCCACTTGTCCTGATGAGGGTAGTGCTGGTGGCTGCATGTTGAGTATGGCGGTCCAGACTTCCCTTTCCCTGGCGACAGACTCTAGCTCTTCCTGGGGGAATTTCCAGGCCAGCCGAGTGACATCGTCCCACCAGTGTGTCCCTGGGTCGGTCCCTGGGGTTCTTAACCCAGTGTACAGACGCTACATTATCAGATGAACAAGTTGGGAAATATTCATTTGAAGGCCAAGGGTTGGATCGCATACGGGCCATGAGGATGTCCCAGGAGATGGATGCTCAAACCCATTTGTGCCCACGTTGAAGTGTCCTGCCTGCCATCGTGTGTGCAAGGGGTATTAGAATAACTCCCCTTTCTTCCACATCAATCAGAACCATCCTTCAAATGGAATTGGCCAAACATCCAAATGTATGAGGACTCTCTCGATAGAGTTTTAAAACTTGGGCGAGGCTTTTCCAGGGAAGTAAATGAAAATTATGTTTGCTATTAAAAAGGTAACTTTAAAAATGAAATGGGGGGATAACAAGACCTTGTGATTCGTAACATGAATCATGAAATGCAAAAAAATGTTACGTTACACCGCAAACAACCTTGATTACTACAAAGGATAAAGTGTTTTTCTATATTCTTGGTTCTTTCGGTAAAGTCACGTAGATAGAAAATAAAAATATAAAAAATAATGAATTGAAAATAAAAGCTTTTATTATTTTAAATGTATTTAACATTTTATTATTTTTATTTTATATCTACGTGACTTTACCGAAAGAACCAAGAATATTAATTCCTGCCGCCACGAAAGTTTTAAGTCGGTGTTTTTCTACTCAATTTTAAGTGATGGTCTGGTGTATTGCTGGTCCGCAGATAATGGTGGAAAATCAATGTTCCCATGGCAGAGGCTGGTCTACTCATAACATCTCAACGCATGAGCCACTACTGTAAACATCACCAAAGGGGGTTGATGTTTACGACAGGACCAAGGTGAACCCTTTGTCAGGAATTTAACTCGTGATGTTGTGGTCGATTCCCCACTGTCTGCCGGGCTCATTTTTACGATGAAATCCTTATTTTAGAATTGCCACTCCGTGATAGACTTATTTTACTATTAGACACGTAGATCAGTGTTTCACTAATTTTCAGAGGGTTGGGTGGGGGGGGCACTTTTGCCAGAAACACATCAGTGTGAGGGCCGCCACATTTGAAACCATTGGGGTTTGACAACATGATGACGGGGGTGGGGGGGGGTGTTTTTACAATTGTGTATTGTTGGGGCCCCGTACGTCAGGGGCCGCAATACAGGCCACCAGGCACCACCAGTGGCCTGCGGGCCTCGCAATGAAGAACACTGGTGAAGATCGATGTGGTTTGACGTTTTTTGCGAGCTATACAAACGTATGCGCGGTTTCGTAATTTGTTTTCGACAAAAAAAATCAATCTGATTTACGCCCACGACGAGTTGTGATTGTCACCCTCCCCTCCGAGCCCGATACGAATGCCGTACATTTAATTCTTTATTCCAGCTCTTGGAATAACAGTTTGCGAAAGGACCAGCGGCATGCGCCGTTGGAAGAGGTTAAAGAGGGTTTTAGCACGGGCCATGCGTGATATCTCGTGGGACTGTCCCCCCCCCCTCCTCCGTCTTGGTGAGAGATGTCCCCAACAGAATTTTTTTGAGGCGTCAACACGTCAAAACGTGATGTTCGAGAGCACAATTGGAATGTAACTGGGGAATTCTGAAGAAATAATGGTAAGATTTCGATGTTATAGATCTGTTGTGTGGACACTTTAACCTCCTGCATTTCCCTCTCGTTGCCTTGTGTGTGTGTCTGTGTAGCACCGACTGCTGTTTAGCATTGTTTAATACTGAAGGGTTCTAATAAACACATTTTTAAACGTATCCAGTTGTGTTTGCACGTGATGTGTTTCGCTACGTAACCAGTGTGCCTAGAGGGGAGAGCGCTTTTTAAACGACGCGTTTATGCCCGCTTTAACACGGTTTTAAAAACACGAATCGTTTGCAAAGTGCCCAAGGCGCTCGGAGAGAATGTACGAGGTCGTCGTTGCGTTGAGAGAGACATCAAGTGGAACGTGTGGATGATTGGAGAATGTGCGTGGGTTGTAATGTCACAATTCGCACTTGGGGAATACAATTTAAGCGCACTTGGGCTGGACACGTCACTCGCTACCTTTAGAAGGGACAGCAAATGGTGGTGGCGACCGATGGTCAGGAAGAGAGGATTGACGAACGTTAATCCTCGATTAACGTTCGTTCGTTAATCGAGGAGCTGCAGTAATGAGACCGTCTCTTGTTAGGTGGACTGGCTGCATCACTGGATTTTGATAGGTGGCCGATAGCTTTGGGACGCCTTCATCCAGCAGTGGACTAGATCATAATGTGCTGCTTTGAAATTTGCCTACGAAATACCGCGATGTGGATCTGGACGAGAACGCGAGTTAAAATGTTTAATTTCTCATTTTCGTGTCTAATTGCATACAATCAGTGTGCATTTCACGGTAGCTCCCCCAAAGCAGTGTGGGTGGGGCACAATTGGTTGTGTGCAACTTGCTTGCAAGCAAACTAATCGCTCCTTTGTGGACATCCCTTCAACCGATTGCGAGCTGTTGTGCAACCGGTTGCTTCCTATAGAGATCGACTACTTTCAAGAGATTTGGTTGCGCAACTGACAGCTCAGGTGTTGAAGGGCTGACGCAGCAGTGAAGCAACTTGTCGCTCATCGCTGAGTAAATCTACTTTTGAAAGTTTGTGCTTTTTAAAATCATTTATATTAAGTTCACTTGCTTGCGTGCTTGCGTGCTTGCTTGCTTGCTTACGACCGTGAAAATCTTTCGGTCGTTTTTTAACCCACTTCCCGTGATCCAATCGAGCTGACATTTTGCACACAGACTCGTTGTGCGAGACAATTAATGTTCGTGAATTTTTTTTTCCAAAATTTTACACTGTTTAGGGAAAACAAATTAAATATTTAATTACCAATTGTTTAATACTGCAGACAATCATCTGACCCATAGGTGGCAGCCATCTCAAGCCAGAGGACGAGAGGACTCTAGCCGCCACGCATATAAAGGATTGAGTGAAAAACTTTGTTTTTACGGGTTAATTTTTTCGGCCCAAATACCGTCAACTGTGTGTAGCGACGTGCAACAATTTATTGTATCTATAAGATTGCACGACTTTGCCGCGCTGTGTTGTTGAGAGGGATCGAGGTTATAACTTTAAACCACAAATTGTGTTCACTCAGCCCGTCAGAATGCCCCAGAGGGGCCAATAAAATTGAGTTGCCACTTTTTAGGAAGTCGGCAGACGGACCCGTGCGCATGTCCTGGGCCATGCCAGAGGAATGAGGAATTTCCACCACGGGCTCAAGGACATCTGGTTGGAGACGACGAGCCATCATTGCTCAACACTCGGTTGATGTTTTTCGAATTGATTGCTTAGCCGAGGTCGTGACATCTCATTTCAGATGCTTCATCAAACCGAAATCTAGAGGCGGCTGGGTGGCTTCGGTCAGAATGCTGACCTGGCACCACTGAGGTAACGGTGTTCGAATCACGGCAGCCCTACTCAAGCGGTTTCCGAGGGGACAGGCATCCATGACGGCTCCTGACCAAACCCTGCTCCCACGTGGCTGCCATTCTTTAATTGTGTTGGTGGGGGGCCCCCACCTAAGACCCCATTGAAACCCAACATGGCTTGGTGTCGACTATCTGTTGGCGTTTGCAAGCGAGAATTTCATCAATGCTGCTTGCAGCTGTGGTTTGGCATCATCCAATGCCTCATGATGCCGAGCAGAAATGGGTGAGGTTCTGGACTGTGGCTCGTGCAGCTGCTGTGGCTGCATTGGGTACGTGGTCCACAGCTTCCCAAACAATCTGGCTGATGCAGGAGGAGTTCCAGCTTGCCGAGAGAATGTGGCAGGCCCCTTGTCACCGCCTGCAACATCCCACCACCCGCGCATGAGGAGGCTTATAGTATTTATTCTAGATTTGAAGCTTTCGTGACAGCAAGGATTCATACTCTTAGTTCTTTCGGTAAAGTCACGTAGGTAAAAAATGAAATTAAAATTAATACAAATAAAACAATACAAATCACGACGTTTCGGAGGCAACACAAGTCTCTGAAACGTCGTGATTTTTATTGTTTTATTTTTATTAATTTTAATTTAATTTTTTACCTACGTGACTTTACCGAAAGAACTAAGAGTATGAGGCTTATAGTAGTCAACACCCAGAGGTTCGGAGAGCCATGCGGCACTGCAAGGATGGGCAGTGGTCACGGGTTGCTGCGGGGATGGAAATTGCCTCGGGAAACTCGCGATCGCAAATTACGCTTTAATTACATTGGGAGGAATTGGAGCTGGTTGGACTTGCCGATGACTGGTACCAGCGGTACCAGAGGTGTCAGAGATCGGCCTCTGTGGAGGAGGCTTCTGAAGGACGCTACTGGACAGTTGGAGGCAGTCTCCCTCCAGCAACAAGAGGGCAGAGCGATGCTCACAACGATGACGAACACAGCGCCAGGAGGCTAAGCCACAGCAAGTTGGCACAGCGGGGAGCATAGGTGGTGCATCTGCCAGTCAGCTCAGCTAACCCTGCGTGTGTCTGTGTGCTGTTTGATGTTCGTGTGTGTGATTCACGTCTGTGGTGTCACGTGGTGAACACATGCAGGGATAATGAGGGAGAGTGTCCGACCTTTGCGAATGAGGAAGACCAGTCCATACTTCTCCCGTGCGCGCATGGCTGATGGTACAGTCACTTCACACAGCCTTTCACCCATTCACTCAGTCAACGCTCAGTCTCTTACTGTGAGAGGAGGGTGCGCACGGTGTGGAGATGTGAACTACCTCGCCTGGTGTACAGAAGGTCGTGGGTTCGATCCCGACCCTGACGCCTGCTGCTGTATATTTGGAGTTGTATTGTTCTCCCCGTGGTCGCGTGGATTTTTCTCTGGCTCGTCCGGGTTTTCCCTCCACATTTAGAATCAACATGCATTTAGAGTATTTGGCTGCTAGAAATTTCCACGTGATAAGCCACTTCGTTGAGCTATCATTTGTGGTCATGTCACTTCTACAAAACAGCGATACAGCTCAGTGGGCCTTACTTGCTAAAATAAAAATAGTTTCATCTACTCAACTATTCACCCTCTCAGTTACTCAGGTTGTCCTTAATGCTCACCTAGTCACTTTTTTACCTCTTCCAAATTCATTCTCAGCCTCTCGCTCATTCACCCGCCTCTACACTCTTTACCTGTACGTACCGAGTCAATCGCTTACTCATACTCACCCACTCACCCACACAGTTGGCGAGATGCGGTGCCAAAGACGTTCAACATGTACACAATTACCGAGTCTATCACTCACCCATTCCCTCAGCCAATACGTATGAATGCATGTTGAACTTTCTTCACACCGTACGTAGCCCACCGTGCTAATCGGAGGTGTGATAATGGTACTAATGCTGCTGATGGTGGTGGTGCTGATGATGGTTGTAGTGATGGTGATAATGGTGCTAATGATGTATGTATGTTGAACTTATTTCGTACCGTGCGTAGCTAACCGTGGTAGTGGATGAAAACGCCCGGTCTCTCATTCTCACCCACCCATGCACCTATTCACTTACCTACTAATCTCACTCATTTAGCCTCAAATTGTCATTAAACCACTCGCTCACCCATTCACCGACTCATTCACCCGCTCCCTCACCCTCACAAAACTCGCCCAATCGGTCTCTAATGTTCACCCTCGTGGTCGCTAATGTGCATTGTACAATGTGGAGAGAAAACGGTCCACAGCACAACTGGAAGATACCGCGGCTCAATGGTGGAGCGAGCGGCTCGCAATCAAGAGAGAGGGCTTCTCGTTCAAATCCTGGTTGGGGGTTGACTTAGTCCATCATTCTTGGTTGCCCTACGAAGAGACTCGCCCCCACCATAGGAATGTGGGATTTCCACCTTTGGCTCAGACCTGTAAACAATAGAAATACAATTTTAACTTTTCCACATGGTAATCCATAACCGCTCGCTAATGGAGAGATTTGCGGGAGGAAGAACCACAGGCAACCGGCAATGCAGCAGCAGCCAGGCAGTGATCCGGCGCTACGAACAATTTCTCAAGCTCTGCTGCCCTCTGTATATATTAAGATACCAGGCAATTGATGAGCGTTCATACGCGTGGGAGAAAACCCACAAAAACCCACTGGGGGCTTGTGACCTGAGAGACACTGCGTGGCCACTAGCCCACCACGTGGTGGAACTGCTGCCCCCCCCCCCCCCCCCACTTACCGTGTGGTCTCGCCCCCTAGGGCTCGCCGCCCTCCACAGGGCGTCCTGGAGGAAGTGGACCCCTCCACGCTCCCCCTTCAACCTCGTGCAGGAGACGCTCTTCCACGACCCCTGGAAGCTCCTGGTCGCCACCATCTTCCTCAACAAGACCTCCGGTGGGCGGGCGTTGACATGGGGATGGGAGGTGGGGGGGCGGCGGTCTGGCCTGGCACGTAATGGCCGTTTAGGAAACTGGTACACCCCCCCTCTGGTTATGGAACTCCCTACTGGTGCCCCCCCCCCCCCCCACTGTTTATGTAACTCCCCACTGGTGCCCCCCCCCCCTGGTTATTTAACTCCCCACTGGTGCCGCCCCCCCGGTTATGGAACTCCCTACCGGTGCAACTAAGTGGCTCTGAGTTTGGGTGTCTGTCTCTATCAAGGGGTTCATAATGGCTGTGTCAGAGACACCAGACGAGTACTGCTGATGTCTTGCATTCGAGTATAGCTCTGAGTCTCTCTCAGGGAAATCAAACGGCCATGTCGGATACACTCAGCAGCACTACTGAGGTGCATGCTTCCAGCTTTGGGCCTAGTTGTTTCCCTGTCGGGTAGCTAATAATGGCCATGTTGTAGATATTTAAACAGGTCCTTGCGGGGTGGGCTGGTAGGAACGAACAAATGAATGGCTATAATAAAATGAAATGGCGGGGGTACGATACAAAGGGAGAGTTTGAGGCCTAGTTCTAGGCTTTAGGCCTAGCTGTAGGCTTTAGGCCTCTGTGAGTTAATTTTTTATTTAAATGTTTTAATTAAAAACTATCTCAGGGAATTATAAGGGAATGTTACACTTGTTTAGCCAGGAAAGCCTCACTGAGTCTAAAGGTTTTTGTAGGGTCCTGCCAAGTGTTTGGAGTAGGGGGCGATGTTGCTACACCTAATCGGACATCGGACGGACGGACGATATAATCTATTGTAGGCTGGTTCACTTCGTTCCTACCAGTACAAGTAACCCCCTCCATCCCACCCCCACCTCCTCGCCACCCCCCCCCCCCCCCTATTCACCCCACCCCTCCCCCGCCCCATCCCTGTGCAGGCCGTCAGGCCGTTCCGCTGCTCTGGGAGTTCCTCGAGCGGTTCCCGTCGGCCGAGGTGGTGCGGGAGGCGGATTGGCGAGAGGTGGCGCGCACCATGCAGCCACTGGGCCTGCACGCGCTGCGCTCCAAGGCCATCATACGCTTCTCATGTGAGGCCGTGCGGACGGCTCCGGAACAAAACGTGCAACTCGAGACAATAATTCACGTCGAGGATATGAATAACGAAACGGACAAGCAGTCAATTCGTCTCGCTCAAATTTTCGTGTCGTTTCGCCGCGTAAAATAAAAAATTCAAGACAAGCAAACTCTGGACTAATCTAGATTTGAAGTTTTCGTGACTGCAGGGATCCATACTCTTTGGTTCTTTTGGTAAAATCACGTAGGTAGAAAATTAAAATAAAATTAAAATAAACAATTTATGAAGTTTTATTTTATACTTACGTGACTTTACCGAAAGAACACTCTGGACTGTTTTCGACACTCAGTGTCCCATCAGCAGAGTCAGGCTTAACAATAACAATCATTCACAATTCGTGACGCGCGCAGTTTTTTTGTTTGTTGTAATATTCTAGAATAAAATTGTATTTTTGTTGGAATTGTCAAAACCGCTCGTTTTCATTGAGGTGCAGACATGTGACTGACACCCTCAACGAGTGAGGAGCTGCTAGTAATCGAACGGGCGCGCCCGTAAAGTTTCTCTGCCCGGTAAAGGTTCACGCGCAACTGTTGATAATGCTGGTCAACAACAACAAAAAAATCTCGCCTGGAATTTTGCAGCTGTTCTAGACTAATTTCAGGGTGCTGATTCCAAATCTGATCTCAGATTTGCTCTATCACATCTCATTTTTATGCTATCGGCATACCCCATTTTCATTGATTTTACCCGATATTAACTCTGTCACTTATGATTGCAAGTTGTTGCGAGTCAGTGACTGTTTTAGTGTTAAAATATGGTGCTGTATTTTTAGGATAGTGTGTTTATAATATCATTTTATGTAGATATCCACATCTATTTAATATTTTTCTTCTGCAGTTTTTATTGAAAATGCAATAATTTATATCTTAAAAACCTGATGGACAAAAACTGATGCCAGATTTGGAATCAGCACCCCAAAATTACCTTAAAACCGTTGGAATACCTTAAGCCAGAAAAAGTGTGTTGACCAGTGTATAATCCACCCACGGATAATTGAAAGAGTAAAATGTAACTGACTTGAGGCCTCGGCTGCTGGAGTTGCGGTTGTCTCGTAAGAGTTTAGTTTTTTTTCTTTTTTTCATTTCCATCTTCAAATTCCCAGGCGAGTTTCTGACGAAGAAGTGGCGCTACCCGATCGAGCTGCACGGCATTGGGAAGTACGGCAACGACTCCTACCGCATCTTTTGCGTCAACGAGTGGAAAGAGGTGCGACGCTGTTTTGCGTCACGGCCACACGAGCCCCCCTTGGAGGAAGTTTTAAGGCCCGGTCATCGCCAGCAACTGGCAACGTTTGCCGTGCAATTTCCTTTTTGTAACGAAATAAAAACCTTGACTTTGTCCCGAAAGAAAAAGAGAGGAGTACAGTGAAGGATGAAATGTACGGGGAAAAATAGAGAAAAGAACGGAAGAGGGAAGGGACGCCAGTGACGGAAGTTCCTCCCCTAAACCAGTATATATACGGGGTAGTATGCCTTGGAATCTCTCATTTACTTGATTACAGCAAGCGTGCTGTGACAGTTCCACCTGAAGACGGACGCTTGTGTTGCCTCCGAAACGTCGTGATTTTTATTTTATTTTACTTTTATTAATTTTGATTTTTTTACCTATGTGACTTTACCGAAAAAACCTAAGAATCTGAATAAGACGGACAGAGAGAAGGAGGGCATGGCTCAAGATGAGTAGCAGGGAGAGAGGAGGAGAGGGAGCCATGGAAAGGAAGCTGGGGAGAAGAGGAGAAAGAATGAGTCAAGATGTTGGGGGGGGGGGGGGAGAGGGTGAGGATGATGATGAGAGGGAGAGAGAAGGAAGGAGTGAGCTGCAGTCAGTTGCATGGGGGAGTGGCGTCTGTTTTCATAGCGGGCGGCAGGGTGAGGGCAGGGATTCAGAGTGGGGGTGGCCACACAGTAGTCACGTGATTTACGGAAGGCTTGAACTGATTTAGACATGGATGTCGTGTTCTTAGGTTTTTTCGGTAAAGTCACGTAGGTAAAAAATTAAAATTAAAATTAATAAAAGTAAAATACATTTTTATTATTTTACTTTTATAAATTAGAATTTTAAAATTAAAATAAATTTTTTTTATTTTACTTTTATTAATTTAATTTTTTTACCTACGTGACTTTACCGAAAAAACCTAAGAATATGGATGTCGTGGCCAAAAACCTCAGAAAAATGTTCTGACTGGACAAACCGGGAGTAGTCATTGTCAAACTGTGCTTCTATGCTCCCACGTACATGTTTCTGCCTTAATCAAACCCACTCTGACCAACGCGGTGAAGTATGGTCAATGACTCACCACCCGCACGGCGTAGGGAGGCACTAATGCTGTCGTGGATTGACAAATAAGGCTCTACGTGCACAAGAACATTTAAATTCATGGAAATAATAAAAGTGACATTGATGGTGATAGTAACAATATTGTCATAGGTAATGATGTATGTTGAACTTCTTTCACACCGTGCATAACCAACCGCGCTAATCAGAGGTGCGGGGGAAGGACAACATATTACACTATGAGACATCTCCTTTACCAGTGGCAAAATATAGTAGTAGGTTTTTACCCTTTAAACTGGTACTAAACTGACACCTTTATACAAGGCATCATGTTTGCAATAACCACAACATAAGTATTCAAAATGCAAACAAAAAAGAAACAACTCTGATGATGATAATGATATGCACTGTCCTTGAAGTTGATTGGTCCACACCCGAGACAGCTTTCTTTAGAGCCTAGTCTCCATTGGTATTGGACCAGATGACACCAAAAGGCGTACTTTTTTGCCTTTTGGTGTCATCTGGTCCAACACCAATGGAGACGAGGCTCTAGAGAAAGCTGTCTCGGGTGTGGACCAATCAACTTCAAGGACAGTGCATATCATTATCATCATCAGAGTTGGTTTTTTTTGTTTGCATTTTGACTACTTGTGTTGTGGTTATTGCAAACATGATGCCTTGTATAAAGGTGTCAGTTTTGTACCAGTTTAAAGGGTAAAAACTTACTACTGGACAACATATTAAACACAAAAAAACTGTCCTAAAGAAATTAGTTTTCAGTATAAATTTCAAAGAGCATAGCTCCAGTGGCTTCCTAATATCGGGAGAGCGTTCCAGACGGCCGCAGAAGCGCAATTGAAAGCACGCGATGTGGTGACCATCTTTGTTCGACGGTTAGCCAAAAGCCGCTGCGAGGATAACCGAAGTTTTGCATGATGGTTAACGTTTCCTGACGAGATCGGCAAGGTATTTGGTTTCATTTATGGCAGGAACTTTGTGTGTAATGAGTGCGACATTATGATGCCGATGATGCCGATGATGCCGATGACGCCGCTGATAAGACTGACAAAGATGATAAATTTCGATTTAAAGCTTTCGTGACTGCAGGGATTCATCTTCTTGGTTCTTTCGGTCAAGTCACGTAGAAGGGAAGTAATAAAATAATAAAAATACAACATAATAAAATAATTCTCACGACGTTTCGGCCACAACGCAAGCAGCCGTCCTCAGGTGAAGACCAGGTCTGTCGGGGAGACAGCGTCTGTCGGGGAGACAGCGTCGGCTGAGGACGGCTGCTTGCGTTGTGGCCGAAACGTTGTGAGAATTATTTTGTTATGTTTTATTTTTATTATTTTATTACTTCCCTTCTACGTGACTTTACCGAAAGAACCAAGAAGAGGAAAGATGATAAAGATGATGATGCTGCTGCGAATGGTGATAACAGATCATGATGATGATGATGGTTCTGACAATGTAATTTCAGGTGAAACCACGTGACCACAAGCTCACAGACTACCACCGCTGGTTGTGGGAAAACCACAAGAGTCTGGGACTTGACTGATGGACTCACTCGCCCTCGTCACGGGAACAAGGAATTTCCACCACTGGCTCAGCTTTTGTAAAACGGGAGATGCTGTGCTGCAGGCATTTAAAGATGTATTAATGAATCCATTAAAAGCAGTTATTCCTCTTGCATCGAATTGTGTGCTAAAAAAATGTTTAAAAAATATGTTTTAGCAGGTAAGTCTGACTGAGCTATGTAGCTATTTTTCAGAAGCGACCTGGCCACAAATGATAGCTAAACGAGAAGTGGCTTATCGTGTGGAAATGTATAGCTGCCAAATAATCTAAATAATGCTTAAAAGTCGAGTCTGTCTCTACTGCTCACAACCAATGGTGCAACTGCTCCTAACCGGTTGCAGATACGTCCATGAATATACAAGCGATTCAGTTGCACGCAATCAAGTTGCACGCAACTAATCGCCCAGGTGTGGACCGACTTTACTTTCCTGCCATCTAGTTCTGGAATATTTTACTGAGGCTATAATACTGTACACCATGGCTTGTTGCACTTTTAAAACATTTGTATACCCTTTCGATTTAAAGCTTTCGTGACTGCAGGGATTCATCTTCTTGGTTCTTTCGGTAAAGTCACGTAGAAGACAGTGTCTCCCCGACAGACCTGGTCTTCACCTGAGGACGGCTGCTTGCGTTGTGGTCGAAACGTCGTGAGAATTATTTTATTATGTTTTATTTTTATTATTTTATTACTTCCCTTCTACGTGACTTTACCGAAAGAACCAAGAAGATTTGTATACCCTCTTTACCTGGATATATTTTGATGTCGTGCGAATGCGGAATTCGAAATGATCGGAAACATGATACTGTACCGTGATGTTTGATCTCGAAGTTAAACTCATACTCTGTCATGTTTAAAAAAAAGTATGAAAATTGTACACTTTTGTAGAATTTCACGACCAATATAATCCATAATGTAGGTTTTTTTGGGTTAGATCATGTAAATATGAATTGGTCGTTAAACCCGCCACCACCCGACACAACCAATTCGTAACGTTTGTCACGTAAACAGAACATGCCAATTCGTTACTAGTGTAACGACTCGCTGACAAGTTATATGAAGAGCCACTTTCATTTGAGGACCCCCACAATACGGGGCCCGAGGCTTCGTGCTTGTCTTCCAGCTTGTATCTCCACTCCTCGTGCTCTCACCTTATATATACCTCTGCTACTTGTATGGAATGTACCCTCAATGTATTTCCCTTAGCCCAGGGGTCGGCAACCTATGGCTCCGGAGCCGCATGCGGCTCTTTACGGGCTGCTTTTTGACGATATGTACGTATGTACAGTATGCATTGCGGCTCTTGAAATACTGAATTTTGTACCGAATTGGAAAGAAATGGCTCTTCTTGTTATTTTGGTTGCCGACCCCTGCCTTAGCCAATCGCTGTCCTTTCCCTCGAACGGATCCTATCCGTCGCCTCTGGGTGACACTTTGTTTCCCGTCTATTCTCATTCAAAACTTTTCCTCCAATCACTTCAAAGGCCTTCCTCCTGACCAATCCCTGTGGAGGCCTCTTTCCTCCAATCAGAGACCTTGGTTTATCTTTGAATAGCCGTTAGGCTGGACATTGGCTCAAGGTCATTGTCGGTCATTACACTAGTACAGCACTCTCGGGCGAGTTGGTATGCTATAGAGTGGTACCTCGGTATACGTCGTTTATTCGTTCCAGAAGGTAGGACTTATACCGAAAATGACGTAGACCAAACGAATTTTTCCCATAAGAATTAAAGGGAAAGGAAATAATCCGTTCCAGAGTATAAGACATTATATTTTATATGGCATATTATACATTAATGTGGTTGTATAAAATAGTTTAGACACTACTTATTACTAAAATTCATGCATAAATTAAAATAAATGCATAAATAAATTAAAATAAATGTGAAATAAAAATTTAATTTAACGTCACTTTACCTTGCTGAGAGGAGTTGATAGCCTACGAGGATGGTGGTGAGGAAGGGGAGGAGACGTGAATGGGGTCTACGCGGGTACGCGGTGACTCATCCCGACCCATACAAGTTCTAGCAAGCGCGTCGTATGCCAAGCGCGACGTATCCCAAGCAAGGCGTCGTATCCCAAGACTTTTTTCTCGTCAAAACACGACGTGTACCAAATTCGACGTATTCCAAAGCTGTCATATACCGAGTTATGACTGTACTAGTATATTTCGATTTAAAGCTTTCGTGACTGCAGGGATTCATCTTCTTGGTTCTTTCGGTAAAGTCACGTAGAAGGGAAATAATAAAATAAATAAAATAAACATAGTAAAATACAATTCTCATGACGTTTCGGCCACAACGCAAGCAGCCGTCCTCAGGTGAAGAACAGATCTGTCTGGCTGTCATTCGGACGCTGTCTTTCCGACAGACCTGTTCTTCACCTGAGGACGGCTGCTTGCGTTGTGGCCGAAACGTCGTGAGAATTGTATTTTATTATGTTGAATTTTTATTCTTTTATTATTTCCCTTCTACGTGACTTTACCGAAAGAACCAAGAAGATGTACTAGTATAATCATCAGGCAGCAGTCAGATTTGTGGAGAAATCCTCCTGTTTTGTTCCTTATAGGGGTAGATTGTGAAGGCATCACTTGTGTTCTGGGCAAAAAAATATAAGTTGAAGTTTGGCACGAATTCCGAACATCAACGGTTAAATTCCATGATTGTGCTTATTTTGGTGAGGTGGATGGTGTGTGTTTACAATATCTCAGAGACTTTATTAAAAACGAGTTTTGAATATATGTTTGAGTATTCATTCTTATGATTGGAGTCTAATCTTATCGGTAGACAGAAGCGGTGGTGGGGGGGGGGGGGGGGTAGATTCAGACTAGTTGCCCAATGTGTAAATCAAACATTCTTCAATTTACATGTGCTATGAGAAAGGGTCATTGCCTGAAACGTTGACTATTGTATTTATTTCTCCTTTTAAGTGCCACGCACGCACAGTGTTGCTCCGGGCGAATGTGTTGAGTTGGTTTTATAGTTTGGACACTACTAGACATCTGTGAAAAAATTAACCCGTAAAAACAAAGTTTTTCACTATAAATCCTTTATATGCGTGGCGGCTAGAGTCCTCTCGTCCTCTGGCTTGAGATGGCTGCCACCTATGGGTCAGATGATTGTCTGCAGTATTAAACAATCGGTAATTAAATATTTAATTTGTTTTCCCTAAACAGTGTAAAATTTAGGAATTTTTTTTTCACGAACATTAATTGTCTCGCACAACGAGTCTGTGTGCAAAATGTCAGCTCGATTGGATCACGGGAAGTGGGTTAAAAAACGACCGAAAGGTTTGCACGGTCGTAAGCAAGCAAGCACGCAAGCACGCAAGCAAGCAAACAAGCAAACTTAATATAAAGGATTTAAAAAGAGCTTTGGGGCCGTCCATAAATGACGTCACGCACCTATGGGGGGGGGGTCAGACGTATGTGACGATGTGTGACGAGGGGGGGGGTTGAGAAATGTGACGTCACATCAAAATACGCAACTTTAAATAAATATAGTCAACACGTTCCACTTAATTAAATAGACTTTTTAATAAATGTCTTCTTCTACAACACAAGAGTGCAGCGCCACACTAAATACGCACTACAATTACAATAGTTTAAAGCAATTTGAAGCATGTTTTTTTTTGGGGGGGGGGGGGGCAGAGCTTTGTGACGTCATATTTGAGGGGGGTCTGACTTTTTGTGACGCCGTGTGACGAAGGGGTGGGGGGTCAAAAATCGTCCAAATTCGCGTGACATCAATGGACGGCCCCTTTATAGCTCTTGACTTGAAACTCTTCGGTTCTTTATTGTTCTGCCTACGTGACTTTGCCGAAACACCCATAGAATATGAATAATTATAAAAGTGAATAAAAATATCACGACGTTTCAATCGCAACACAAGCGGATGTCATCAGGAAAACGGGTTATCCTCTAAAGGCAAACTGTTCATGAAGGTTTGGAGGTTGATTGACAAGAAAACACAAGTCAAGTCATGACCCAAAGTGGTTGATGACATCTTTCCAATGATTGCTGAGTTTATAACCTTCCTCTCGGTTGAAATTGTGTCTATATATGGATAGCTTTATGAACGAATCTTTGTTGATAGCCAGCAGGCTTGCAAAGTACCATCGTCTTAGACATGTCTCGGACCGTGTTCTTGAAGATAAGATTTGAAATACGGTAGGACCAATACTTCTGCTGTGGCTGATCATTATTTTTAAATCCTTTATATTAAGTTCGCTTGCTTGCTTGCGTGCTTGCGTGCTTGCTTGCTTGCTTAGGACCGTGAAAATCTTTCGGTCGTTTTTTAACCCACTTCCCGTGATCCAATCGAGCTGACATTTTCCACACAGACTCGTTGTGCCAGACAATTATTGTTCGTGAAAAAAAATTTGCAAGATTTTACACTTTTTAGGCAAAAAAAAATTATTTTACATATATTCAAATAGAACGCATTCATGGCTTTGGCTGAACGTCAGAGTGTAAGAGCCCAGAGCGTAACCCCTCCACAGGCCGTGGCGGAGTAGCGCAGTTGGTAGCGCCCTCGCTTCCCATACCAAAGGTCGCGGGATCGATCCCCGCGTCCTCCACAGGCGAATATATTTTTAAATCCTTTATATTAAGTTCGCTTGCTTGCTTAGGACCGTGCAAATCTTTCGCTCGTTTTTTAACCCACTTCCCGTGATCCAATCGAGCTGACATTTTCCACACAGACTCGTTGTGTGTGACAATTAATTTTCGTGAATTTTTTTTTCCAAAATTTGACACTGTTTAGGGAAAACAAATTAAATATTTAATTACCAATTGCTTAATACTGGCAGACAATCATCTGACCCATAGATTGCAGCCATCTCAAGCCAGAGGACGAGAGAACTCTAGCCGCCACGCATATAAAGGATTTAGAGTGAAAAACTTTGTTTTTACGGGTTTACTTGTAATGCGGCTGGCTCACACGAAATTGATGTCTCTACGTGACTTTACCGAAAGACCCAAAGAGTAGAGCTTTATAGCTCATCGGATTCATCTCCATATATATAAAAGACAAAGTTGTGATTATGTGTGTCTGTTCAAAATGTTTAGCGTACTTCCCAACATGCAACAAACTTGAAATTTTCCATGTGAGTACTTTCCAGAATGTACACCATGCAAAAATAATAAAAATACACTTTTTTTTGGGGGGGGGGAGCTCAATAATGCAGAGATTTTTTGCACGGCAAGTGAGCTGTGACATCACCTCTGTCATGTCACCCGCGCGTGCGGAAGCGTCACGCAGTGTGCCTGCTGATGTCACCCCCCCTCCAACCCTCCGCGAGTAAAGTGCCATACAAATGTGTTGCAGGTCTAAGGCATTGTCCGCGCAGCATTTCTTTATTATTTCAGTCGTTTACTGCCGTACGCACCCTGGAAGTTGTGTGTGTCTGCAGCAAGCGCGTGTATGTGTACCTATGGACGCGCGCGTGTTTGTGTGTGGGGGGAGCGGTAGTGTAGTGGTTAGCGCGCTGCGCTACGAACCCGGCGACCCGAGTTCGATTCCCGCTCACGGCCACCACCGGTGACGATTATTTGAACCGGTCCTGGGCCTCCCCTAGGTCGACTCAGCCTCAAACGAGTAACTGCTGTGGTGTGTGAACATCGCCACTGGGGAGACAAAGGTGGTCGGGCGTGGTGAATCCAAGTCCCGGGCAAAGCCAGGTAGTAAAGCTAGTCCGGCATAAATAAAGATTATAATTCTGTTTGTGCACCATCACCAAATACACCACCGGGACAGCTGCCCCTCAATTATCGATGCAGTAATCCCCTTTTGATGTTTACATTTGTCACATTGTTGGATAAAAGTAATAATTGTGTAATTAGCGGCTCCGACACGGTAAGTAACTTCAAGTATTTATTAGTAAATCTTCGGTACAGCCACTCTCTCCGCGGATGTCGACCCGCTCTCGTGGCTGCGCTGCCACGTGGCGCTCACCCCGCTCGCTAACACACCGCTGGCCAACACACCGCTCGCTGGCGGCTGAGCAGCTGGAGGTCGAACCGCCACGTTGCAGGTGGAGATGGCGGGGCAGCAGCAGCAATCTTCACACACTGACCCCTAACCAGAGGTAGCAATCGGGTACCCCGTACCCTACCCGATACCCGGCGGGTATCGGGTAGGGTACGGGTACCCGTTTGCGACCCTTTTGCGACCCTGGTGTGGCCGGGTACGGGTAGGCCGTGAGTCACTGGTGAGTAACCGTTTGTCACTCATTTCCCAACGTCTTGTCTCTTCTCACAATTCAAGTTCCTAGAATCAACCCACCCGTGTCTGCAACATGGCTTCATCCCAGAGGTCGCAATCGGGTACCCGTACCCTACCCGATACCCGGCCGGGTACGGGTAGCCGGGTATCGGGTAGGGTACGGGTACCCGTTTGCGACCCTGGTGCGGCCAGGTAAGGGTACGGAATCAAAAACCCGTTTGCGACCTCTGCCCCTAACGTTGCTTATATTCACTCCCCGGAGGCTAAGCCCCGCCTCTAGCCCCGCCTCTGGCCACGCCCCTCCTAGAACCTTCGGGAACGTTCCAGAGGCTTCCCTGGTAGATCCGCCCATTCACCTTTACCCCGGATATAGAATCCCTACTATTGATCAAACGTGGACTGTATGATGTGTAATGTAACCCCCACACTAATGCAGGAGATGACGCTCTCT